GAAAGATTCCTTTCAAACAAAGTTTCAGGGCAGCATTCCTAAACTAAGCGTTATTCAGTGTGTCATTGTGTGAAACAAACAAACAAACAAAATAACAAGAAAGATGGCTATTCAGAAAATATAGGTGGTTGTACAAAAAAAGCATAGATATTTGTTGAAGAAAAAATGTTTATTATTAGTTATAGGAGATGGATAAGAGTTATCTTTAGTATAGTTAGTTTCACTAAATCAGTGAGAACTGTCAGGCCTGTTAAGGAAGAGACCTTTCTCAGACTCTAAAATTCTCCCCCTTCAGCAGCTACGTCTTTTTGTACCAATACAAGGAGAAAAGGGGACACTGAAGGACAAGAGCTGCTGCAGCTGGCCTTGCAGTTCTCTAGAGGTCATTTACAGCAAAATGACTGATCAAAACAAGATGGAGTCAGCATGCCTTGAAGCAGGGCTCTTTCTAAGGAGATGAGTTAACACACATGTCAGGGAAGTTCATGGTGCAATTGCAGGGGGGCTTGGTAAGAGATATTAAGACAAGGACAGTGTGGAGGTTCCTTGGAAGCTGTCAGCCTCAGTATATTTGATAAAGCCAATCTCTGGGAGCCATCCAGGGAGGGTAATTTTGTCTGCTTCTCCCACAACACCAAATCCAGGGTTGTTTTCTACAATACCATGGTCTCTGCCTTCATTCTGTAAGGAGGTTGTGGTATATATAGCTATAATATGGGACAAGTGCATGAGAGAGGTACAGGGTGCTTTATGAAGTTCGCAGAGATTTCGTGGTATGGTGGCAGGAAAACCCAAGAATAATAAATGGGCTAGTTTGCCTGGAGCAGAGGGGTTTGTGTGCAAAAGTAGTGAGAGTCTGGAGAGGTTCTGGATTATTCTGTGGTGTTTTAACTGCAAGACTAAAGACTTCATTATAAAGCTAGTGAAGGGCCTTGGAAGATTTTTGGGTAAGTTTGTCTTTTAAAGCCTTTTCAACCTGGCCCTTCCCACCATTGACAATCAGTAAACATCTATTAAGTGCCTGCCATGCTAAACTCTGGGGGATACAAAAAGAAGCAAAAGACAGTGCCTGCCCTCAAGTCTCTTGCAGTATGAGGGAGACCAATAAGCAGACAAATGCATATACACCATGTATATGCCAGAGAAATAATTAAAAGAGGGACAGGACTGAGATTAAGAGGGGTTAGGAAGGCTTCCTGTAGGAGGTGGGATTTTAGTTGGGACTTAAAGGAAGCCAAGGCAGCGAGTAGTTGGAGCCTTGGAGGGAGAGGACAACCAGAAACAATGCTCAGAACTGAGAGATGGAGCATCTTGTGCATGGAACAGTCGGGAGGCTGGTGTCACTAGATGTCGGGAAGTAAGGGGTCTGTGAAGGCCTTTGAAAGAGGATTTTGTATTTGATCCTGGAGGCAACAGCAAGCCACTGGAATTTATTGCGTAGGAGTTGTCATGGTCAGGCCTGCACTTCAGGAGAATCATTTGGAGTCTGAATAGAAGAGGGAGTGGAGTGAGGAGAGATGTGAAGCAGGAAAACCCACTAGTAGGCTATTACCAGTAATTCAGGTATAAGGTGATAAGGGCCGGTAGCAGAGTGTGGGCAGTGTCTTAGGAGAGAGGGAGGTGGATCGGAGAGCTAGTGCATGGGTGAAACGGACAGACCTTGGCAACAGAGTGCATAGATATAGTGAGGTGAGAGATGGAGAGGAGTTGAGAACGATAACCTAGGCTGTGGGCCTGAGGGACTGGGAGGGCGGCATACATTGACTATAGCATGAACTATATATGACATTAACTGTACCTAATTACTTGACATGCTCGTCTTAAGTAACTGGGAGTAATAAAACTGAGCCAGAAATTCTCTTATCACTAACCAAATAATCACTGGGGCTAAAGTCTGAGGGCTCAGATAAATTCTGCAAGTTCTAGTGATGTGATGGCAGCAGCAGAGACAAACCAGAAGAATTCTCCTAGGATAACATAGTAGATGATCCCAGAGTTGTCTTGAGTGAAAAGTTTTTACTGATCAGTGTGTACCATCAAGAAGTTTGGATCCCATTGCTCTAGGCATATAATTTTAAGTGGAGTTGACTTTGATGAGAAATACTTTTTTGTTAGTTCATTTATTTACTCATTCATTTATTTTTGTAAACATTTATTATTTTTCCTTCCCACTTCTCCTACCCACAACTGAACAATTAAAAAGAAAAGAAAAACCCTCTAACAAGTCTGCATTGTATAACAAAACATGTTCTTGCATTGGACATGTCCAAAGGTGTATGGTTTCATTCTGCATTTTATGTCCATCATCTTTCTGGCAAGGGGGTAGGTAAAATATTTTATCATCAACCAAATGGAATTGTGGCTTATCATTGCACTGATAAAGTTCTAAAGTCTTGTAATCTCTATAATGTTGCTGTCATTGAATATATTGTTCTAATTCTGCTTGTCTCATTCTGCATCAGGTCATAGTGCTTCACCCAGGTGTCTTTAAAACTGTCCATTTTGTTATTTCTTTTGGCATAATTATATTCATTACATTACATTCTAATAGAGGGAGAAGAATCATTACCTTAATATACCATGATTTCCTTTAGCTATTCCCCAAGAGACGGGTACTTTCTTAGTTTCCAGTTGCTGACTAATACCTTGACATCTTTGTGGCATGACTGCATTGAAGGACTGCATGGTTTAATGACTTTGTGACCACACTTTCAGTACGTTTTCCAGAATGACTAGACCATTTTAAAGCTCCACCAACAGTTCAGTAATGTTTCTGCTTTCTTGCAGCCATTTAACATTTGTCATTTTTCTTTTTTGTTATCTTGGCCAATGTGATGGGTGTGAAGGAAAAGTTATGAATTTTTTAAATTTTCATTTCCTCCAATTATAGATATAGTGATATAGAGCAGTGATGTCACAAGCAAACAAAAATCGTGCCACTAATGTGTACATAAGGATCCCTGCTGCCTTAGTTATCTATGCTTTATTGTATTTTTATTTTTGTTAAATATTTGCTATTTACATTTCAATTTGGTTTATGTTGCATATGCCTATATGCACATGTGTTATGTGTCCAGCTAGACTGTAAGCACATAGGCAGAAAATGTTTCATTGTGTTTTTTGTAATCCCCTGTGAAAAGCTCAGCACTTGACACGTTAGGTAATTAGTGGGTGTTTTAGTTTTCAGCTTCCTTTAGTCATTTAGTCTTTGTGCTTATGCCACTGTTGCTGCCTCTGCCATTGGCCTCCAGTGTTCCAGCCCCAAATTGGTCATGTCCAGAAAAGTTCCTAGCTTTCTTCCTCTTTCTTTCTGAGTGTATTCCTTTTTCTCTTCCTTTCCTTTCTTCTTTTAAGATCATCAAATATTCCTGAACCATTTTCAGTCCCTGTGTCTTATTTAATTCCCTCTATGACCCTTGATGACTTAAGAATTCTTAGGAGGCATTTGATTCTTCTTGCCTCTATTGGAATGTAAGAACTTTATTCTTATATAGTTCTTTCCAAATTCTCAAATTTATTCAGTATTGTTTGCAGTTGTTTGCAAATTCAGTGTTTGCAATTCAGTATTTCTACACACCTCTCATATTTTCATCAGGAATTTTTTTTTTTTAGGCAACTGAGGTTAAGTGACTTGCCCAGGGTCACACAGCTAGTAAGGGTCTAGTGTTTGGTCGGAGGTCAGATTTGAACTCGGGTCCTCCTGGCTTCAGGGCCACTGCTCTATCCACTGCGCCACCTAGCTGCCCCATCTTCAGGAATATTTGAAAGTCCTCTGATTTATTAAAGGTTTTCTTTTTTTCCCTGTAGGAGTATACTTAATTTTGTTAGGTAAATACTTATTATTTGTAAGCCTGTCTCTTTGCCTTTAGACTATCATATTTCAGATTCTTCTCTCCTTTATCATAGTATGTGCCAAATCATGTGTGATTCTAAATGATTCCACTGTACTTGAATTCTTTCTTTCTGGCTGTTCATAGTATTTTCTTTTTTTAACATGGAATCTTTAGATTTTGGCTATGACATTCCTGGGAATTTCCTATTTGGTGTTATTTTGAGAAGAATGGCAGATTGTATTTTCACTGAATCTTTTGATTCTAATAAGTCTGCAGTTTTAATTCATGATTTCTTGAAATAAGGTATCTTGCTCTCCTTTTGTTCATGACTTTCAGATAATCTAGTGATTTCTATGCTTTTTCTATTTGAAATCTTTTTAGATCATTTGCTTTTGCTATGATGTATTTTCTTTATTTTTTAATCTTTTGATTCTGTTTTAATATTTCTTTTTATCTCATGGAATCACTAACTTCTCTTTGGGCGTCTGTTCTTTGAGGGAGGTTTTATACTTACTGTTCTGATCTGTTCATTTTCATTTTAAATCTGTGTTTCTTTTCTAATTCTTCCTGGTTTTTGTTCCAATAATAATAATACCATTTTTTTCAACTCTTGTTTAATTTCTTCAAGAAATTCTAATTGACCTCGTAGCTAAGCTGTGTCTTTCTTTGAAGCCTTGCTTGTTGATACTGTATAGCAGTGGTTCTGAAAGTGTGATCTAGGAGCTCCTAGAGGTCCCTGAGACCACCCTTTCTAGGAATCCATGAAGTTAAAACTGTGTTAATAACAATACTAAGATATTTTAATTTTTAGTATGGCAAATATCTTTAATTATTAACCACACAAACAAAGCTCTTCAAGGTGCCCTCAATAACTGTTTAGAGTGCAAAGGGTTCTGAAACCAAAAAGTTTGAGATTTGCTCCAGGTCCCGGTTTGGGTCTGGGCTACAGCTGCAAGCTTCCCTTGGGCTGGAGCTCCAGCAGACAACTGTTGGCCCCAGTCCCTGTCAGCTCTTTGGAAGGCACCATCATTTTAGAGTAGCAGAACCATAAGCTTGCACCTGGGCTGTACTTCCTGCTCAAGTGACTCAGCTTGCAGGCCTCAGCCCTAGTCTGGACTGGATCTGTGACCCCATTCTTGCATAAGAACAACACAGATGTAAGCTTACCCCATACCTGTTCCTTGCTCTGTACTTAGCCATAAGCCCCAGCTCAGTCTTCATGCTGGAAAGATGTGCCTTCCTAGCTGGATCGCTGCTGAGTCCCTGGAGGCCTTTGGCTGGCTCTCTGTGCTGATCTGGGCTAGAAAAATGACCAGCAGTAGTTTCTTCTTAGATTTTCTAATCATTGCTCATGATTGTAGGGGAGATTTGGGCTTTATTCCTCTTTCATTCAAAGCCACCTGCCTGTGCTCGCCAAGCTGAGAAGAGTGACCTTCCAGTTTAGCCTGGCCAGGGCTGCCCTCTCTTGGTGTATTTAGGTGTCAGTTTGCAGAACACTTCATGAAATGTCTGGTTCCTTTCCATGGGGCTCTGTCCTAGGGTCTCTTTCCCCATGTGATTTTGTGTCCTGATATTTCTCCCCAAGGTCAAGAGACGTGGTTCTGCTATAGATAAACAGTGTGGCCTTTTGCAAATCGCTTAGCTTTCCGCCAACTTAATTGCTTAAAATAATGACAGAAGTGGTCCACATGATCTCTGCTGTCCCTCCTGGCTCTAACATACAGAGTTCTAGCTGAGTCTGTGTTCCATGATCAAGGGAATAGATGCAAAAATCCACGGGTTTTTAACTTGCCTGCTTGACTGTTAATTCAGCAACTTACGGAGTACTGTATCACGTATAATGGAAAGAATAGTAGATATGGAATCACAACCTCTGAGTTGGGGTCCTAGCTCTGAGGTGACCTGAGGTGTGACCTTGGATAAATCATTTTTACCTCAGCCTCAGTTTTTTTTCTCTGTCAAATTGGGATGATAATACTCACACTATTTAACTTGCAGAATTATTGTGAGTATAGCACTTTGTTCACTTTAGATCATAGAGAAACCTCAGAGTCACAATTTTAGGACACAAGTCAGTAAGAAGCTTTATTGGCATATTTCATGCCAAGACAAGGAGAGGTCAGTTGACTCATAAAGTTTCTGTCAGATAAGTGAGCTCTGATTTCAAATAATTCTCTGGTAGTATATATAGAATCAAAAAGTAGGAGTGGTCACACTGGATTGCAGGCTATTTACAGCTGGCGTTAGAAATGAGTGGCCTTGTTCTGTGTGACCCTGGACAAGTCATTTAACCTCTGTTTGCCTCCAGTATATCTTTACCAGAAAAACCCTGTGAACAGCATTGGTGGGCTAAGGGCCACAGGATCGTGAAGAGTGGGACACAACTGAACAGCTGGGTGGGTAGATAGATGGAGCTATGTGTGTGTGTGTGTGTGTGTGTGTGTGTGTGTGTGTGTGTACACAGGGTGTGGGTATATATACATATACATACATGTAATCCCACACCCATATATATGTATATGTTGTATATGTATGTGTACACACACACACACACACACACACACACACAGCTAAATATGTGTGTGCATGCGTATGTGTGTGTAATTTCAATGGGGAGATATTAGTGGCTGGAGGGGAGTAGCAAGGCATTCCAGGTGTTATTTAGTTGTTTTTAGTTGTGTCTGACTCTCTGTGACCCCATTTGGGTTTTTTTGGCAGAGATACTGGAGTGGTTTGCCATTTCCTTCTCCAGCTCATTTACAGATGAGGAACTAAGGCAAACAGGGTAAAGTGACTTGTCCAGGGTCTCACAGCTAGAAAGTGTCTAAGGCCACACTCAGGTACGCCTGGCCCCAGGCCCAGTGCGCTATCCATTGGGCCACCCAACTTCCCCATTCTAGGCATGGGGGCAGCCTGTGGCAGGCATTGAAAGAGACTAATGATAGGCAATTTAATGTCCAACTGCCAGTCAGTTTTAGGGAGACAGGGCCTTTTGGTTCCATCAAGCATACAGCTAGATTTAGCTCTATTCTTTAGGACAGCGTTTCATAACCCAAAGACAGAAAAGGAAGTTATCCGTCCAGCTTCTGGCCATTCAGGGAATATGCCGATGTGGTCAGAGAATTCTAAGTGGCTTAAAAACATCCTGGGCATATCCATCATGGTGATTGAAGGCACAGGGAGGAGCCTGGTCAACAGAGCAGTGGCCAAGCCAGGGTCGGTTGTCACTGCCAAGCTGTTTGGGGGTCATCTATAAAAAGAAAAGTACTGCCTGTCTCAGTTATCACTGTCAGCAGTCTCACCCCACCTTGGAAGGCCAGTCTGTAGCTGGGAGAATTGGGGAAACAACTGGGGACTTAGGATCAAGCAGTCATCCTCCCCCAAAAAGGCAAAAAGCAAGGTAAACTTTTCAAATTCTTTACATAAAGCCTGTGAAATAGGACCCTTTTAGGAGCAGCTTTGCCCAAATCTGAGTAAAGAGGCGATATGGTCCAAAAGGAGGAGCCCTGGCTTTGGAGTCAGAGAATTTGGGTTTGGGTTCTAGCTCTACCATTGTTTCACTATGTGAACCGGGATGTCATGTAACTCCACTGGGCCCCTGGTTTCCTCCTAGATAAAACGAGGTGTTTGCCCAGCGTGGTCTTGGGGACTGCTTCTCACTCTTCATTGTCTGGTCTCACATTCTGCTGTGACAGAGGCATGTCCTGCGTGACTGGGGAAAGAATGCCGCACTTTATGTCTGCCTCTAAGAATCACTGTGACAGCAGCAAGCCACCTCTCAATGGTCCTCATCTGTAAAATGGAGATGGTGATGCCTTCAAGGCATCCCTTGTAAGACTTTTGTCAGGATTGACTGAGATGATACAATGTAATAATACCCTTTGCAACCCCAAAAGCACTATCGTTGTTAGCTATCATTATTACCTTGGGGCTGATTCCAAGTGAAGGGAACTTAGAAAAAAGTGATCTGTTAAGTCAACAGTCAGTTACATTTTTACATATTTGATGAAACTGTTCAAATGAGGTGAAAATTTGTAGTACAGTGTCATGGAACTGGTAATGCTGGTCCCCTGTAACTTCTGACATCTGTTGTTATAATTAATATTGGCTGACATTTATGGCTTGTACAGCACTCCATGCATATTGTCTATTTCTCACACTGCTCTGAGGCAGGTAGTACTGATTACAAATGGGAAAATCAAGGCTTAGAAAAATTGATTATCCCAAAGTCATTTTGTGCCAAGTGTCAGACTCAGGCTTTGCATACGGCTTCTGTGATGGCTGATCTAGAGCTCTTTACCATATTATCCTGCTCCTCCTTGTTATCACTGGCTATAGAAGTAAATTACTCTGTTGTTACCTAGAAAACGGGCAAAGGGAAGAGAAATGTAGAGCAGCTGCCTCAGCTTCAGCAAGCAATGCCTTTCCTGGAAATAGTGACTAGCAAGATGGCCTCAGCCTCAGGAGGTTTTGAAGTGTCCTCTACTTTTTCAGTCTTGTAAACACAGGTTTAAGTACTAGGCATTAAACAAAGCTTTTAGGCCTGTTGACAGGGTATTTTATGTGATGCATGTCCCCACCTACCGGCCCAGGGAGTGAAGGCTTATTTTTTTCCTGAGTCTTTCCTTTGATTTGGATGTTTGTTTGTATTTTTTTCTAGTATAACCTCTTTCCTACCACAGCCACAATTACCAGCATGTCTTTGTCACCCAGTGACTGACCCCAGTGTACAGAGAATTTGAAGAAATACGTTTTTTCTCCCTGCGTAGATAATGTTCTTGGTGAACTAGTGAATAGTTACTGAAAGCTCTTTGCAGTGTGAGGAAGCACCCAATTCAAAGACTTCTTCTAGGAAGCCTTTGTTAATACTTTTGTCTTCATCATTAAAGACTTGCCTTACCTCCAGTGTCACCCCCTCCACACACATACATTTTGCTTGTACCTCCCTTTTTACTTATTTACAGTATTGCCTGATGCCTGCTGGATAGCTCGAGCTCAAAATGTTCAAAAGAGGGCTTACTGCGTTTTCCTTAAAATCTGTCCCTTCTCCAAACTTCTCTGTTTCTGGTGAGGATTGTTCTAGTTGTTGATTGTTCTGGTCACCCAAGTTCATAAACTAGGAGCCATCCTTAACACCTCTCTCTCTGTCTCTTCTCTCTCTCTCTCTCTCTCTCTCTCTCTCTCTCTCTCTCTCTCTCTCTCTCTCTCTCTTCTCTGTCTGTCTGTCTCTCTGTATCTCTCTCTCTCTTTCTCTTATCTCTCTGTCTCTCTGTATCTGTCTCTTCTCTCTTCTCTCTCTTATCTCTCTCTCTCTCTCTTCTCTGTCTCTCTGTCTCTCTGTATCTCTCTCTCTTTCTCTTATCTCTCTGTCTCTCTGTATCTGTCTCTTCTCTCTCCTCCGTCTCTCTGTCTCTCTGTATCTCTCTCTCTCTTTCTCTTATCTCTCTGTCTCTCTGTCTCTTCTCTTCTCTCTCTCTCTCTCTCTCTCTCTCTTCTCTCTCTTCTCTCTCTTCTCTCTCTCTCTCTCTCTCTCTCTCTCTCTCTCTCTCTCTCTCTCTCTCTCTCTCTCTCTCTCTCTCTCTCTCTCTCTCTCTCTCTCTCTCTTTCTCTCTCTCTCACCAGTCCTCCCCCCCCCCATGGCAGTCATTTGCTAAATTTTGCCAGTTCTGTCTCCCTAGTTCCCCAGTCTTACCCAACACTCCACTTCAGACCCACATCACCTCACCTAGACTACAGTAGCCTCCTGTTAGGTCGCTCTGCTTCCAGGTGATCTCCTCTTGGCAGCCTTTCATACAGCTGCCAAGATGAGAGTCTGACCATGTCGTGCCCTGGCTCAAGCAATTCCAGTGTCTCTGTTTCCTCTAGGATCAAAGAGAATCACCTCACCTAGAGCCTTCTAGCCATCCCCAGTCTGGCTCCAGCCTAGAGAGAATATGGCATGGTGGGTGAAGTGCTATACTCAGTGTTAGGGAAAACTGGATTCAGATCCTACCTCAGACACTAGCAAACCATTTCACCTTGGATGGGAGGGAATCCTTTCTTCACCTGTAAAATGAGGGGGTTATTACACTAGATGACTTCTGAAATCCCTTCTAGCTCTAAATCTGTGTTCCCTCCATACTTCCAGTTCTCTCTTTTGTTTTAGTTGCCAGAGTAGGGATTTAATCAGCTGAATGTAATGGAACCTTTTCATGATGACCCGGTGAGAGGCAAGCATGGCGTAGTGGATGGAGCCAGCAAGACTTGAGTTCAAGTGCACTCTCTGAGTGGCTTGCCATACTGGCTGAATAACCCTGGGCAGTGTTCTCTGTGTCTCTCCAAGACTAACAGTTGGGGAGAAGGTACTGGTAGAAAGTTTCGTTTCTTGAGAGTTCCCCATGCCAATAAAATCAAAGGTAGAATCCCCATCTCTATCCATTGTGATCAGTCTTTACATTTTGCTGTAAGTGTGGATGAGAGGAAGAATAGTGGAATGAAGAGAGTTTTAGACCTGGAGTCGGGAGAGACCTAGGTTCAAACTCTGCTTCTAACACATTTCAGCTGTGTGACCCTGAGCAAGTCATGCAGCCTCTCTGAGCCTCATCTCCAGTGGTAAAAATGGGAATGAGACCTGTGGTGCCTTCGGGGGTTGTTACGAAGGTCAAATGAAATGATGTGTATAATGTTGTTGTTACTCAGTGGTGTCTGACTCTTCGTGACCCCACAGGGGTTTTCATAGCAAAGATATTGTAGTGATTTGCCATTTCTTCCTTCAGTGAATTAAGGCACATAAGAGGTTAAGTAACTTGCCTAGGGTCACACAGCTAGTGAGTGTCATAGGCCAAATTTGAACTTAGGTCTTCCTGACTCCAGCCCCAGTGTTCTATCCAATGAGCCACCTAGCTATCTCCAATGGATGTAAAGGGTCTTGTAAATGTTAGCTATTATCATGTTGATGTTATACAGCAATCTTATCGAATCTGAGGACGTACAACTTGTTCTCTTGTATTTGTTTTCTTGTAATTGTAATTCACCTTTATTTCCTATTCAGTATAAATATTGAATCAGAGACAACAGCAACTTTTCCCCGAGTTATTTCTCATACAGAAACACTGTATAGAATCAGTCACTACTGCAGTCATTCTAAAGTGACCCCATGTTTTGACTACATGCAACTAACCTGCAGGGGAGGCCAGTCCTGCTGGAGGAAACTGCCCCACAAGTGCTAATCACATCTCTCCTTTGCTAATCTCATCTCCTCTTGAGGAAAATGGAAGCAGCTGCCGCACATGCTCACCCCACCTCCTCACTAGAGCTGTGGACCAATCACATAGTTAGGGAGTAGCGGAGGGAGCACTAATCCCACCTCCTCACATTACCCATTGAGTAATCCAATCAAAATACCTTCGCCCTTATGTGGAAGATGCTTACCCCTGTCTGTAAAAGCAGTGCCCAGTTTGAATCCCAGGTCAGCCCAGTGGCTTGCCCACCAACATTTTTCTGCCTTGGTGTGTTAATAAACTCCTTTTTAACTTTCTCTTCCTGAGGGAAAAGGCCCAACAGAATTTTCCCCTTAATGGTGTCATCATTCTTTTTTAATTTGGCTCAGCCTCCCAGACAGAAGAAAATCTGTCCTTGAACCCTAGATCTTTCTGTGTCCTTATGCCAATACTCAAATGTTGGTCCGTCCTGCTGTAGTCCCATTGTACATAAATAAGGCAGTGCACTGATCATTAGCAAATGGACCAACCAGCTTTATCTAGCAAGCAAAAATAATTCAAACTGCTTAACAACAGAAACAGGAATAATGGTTGAAATAGCCGTGTGAATAACCACAGAGCAGCCCACGTCTCCCATATGTATTCCAGTAGAGATAGAAGGGAAACCAGACAGAATAATGATCAAGATACCATTACCTAGCTCAGACCACACAAAAAGACCGCCAGCATCCTGTAGGCAATGGGAAGAACCGGCCAGTTCTGGAACCCTGTCTGCGCTCAGACCAGCAGTGCTCCAGGACATGTGAAGTCTGCCCTGCACCCAGAGGAGGGAAACCTGAGTGCTTGGATGAGGGAGCGCCTAGAAGATGACTCCAGCTCTGAGATGGGTATACCTCAGGGGCACTGAGAGTTAACTGCACTCTGACCTGAGGCGCCCCAGAAGGCTCCAAAGTCCAGAGCACTTGGAACCTAGATTATTTCAGGTCTGAGAAGATCTGAGACCTGAAAATAAAGGGTGGATAGCAGTACCGTATCTGAAACTATACGACAAAGCAATAATCATTAAAACTCTTTAGTAATGGTTAAAAAAAGATAGGCCAATTAAGGAGTAGATCAAATAGAAAACATGCAGAAGTGAACAAACATAGATGCATAGTGTTTAATAAACCCCAAGATTCCTAGCCCCTGAGTACAGACTTGTCCGGCAGAAGGTTACCCAAGGTCTCATAGTAAGTTGCTGAGGCAGAACAAGATAGGGAATGGATCTGTGATTTCGTTCATATGAGGATCTCCGAGGTGCAGATCCTCTACCATTGCACGTCTACACCTTCTCTGCAACATGTGCTCCTGGAAAGTTGCCCAGAGAACAGTGAAGTTAAAGTGTGTTGTTACCCAGGGTCACATAGCTAGTAAGTAAGTGTCTGAGCCCAGACTCTGTCCCCTGGGTCACCGATCTGCCTGTTTGTAAAGTTACTTTTCTAATTTTTTTGTTCATTTGTGTTACCTTTTGTTTTTCTGAATGTGAAAAAGACCAACAATCACAAACATTTCCATATACAAGGGGAAAAATTTCACATTGTTTATAAAATTGTGAACCTTTATTATGGTATAGCTTATTTATTAAATACCTAATTCAACATGTTAGTTTTTCTTTTGTACTTTCATGTTGCATTGCAGGTTTATGCCCTGGTTCTGACACATACAGTGTGACCCTGGGTAAGTCACTTAGCCCTGTTGGCCTCAGTTTCCTCATCTCCTCATCTCATAAAATGAGCTGGAGAAGGAAATGGTAAACTACTCCTGTGTCTTTGTCAATAAAACCCCAAGTGGGGTCACAAAAAGTCAGAAATGACTAAACAAGAACAATGTGCCAGGCATTGTGTTATTATATATATGTATATAACTTAGTTGTATTAATGCTAATATATTATAGAGCTAAATATTATCTCATTACATCCCCTTCAAAAGCCTGTGTTCTAGCCTAGCTATTACCTGAATTGAGAGTTACCCCTCCCACTTCAGTATCTTTGCCAAAGCAATCCTCCGTGCCGGGAAAGCATTCCCTGAAACTTCAGCTTCCTTCCACGGCTCACCTCGGGCGCTACCTCTTACATCAAGCCTTTACTACTTCCAGTCATTTTAAGTGCCTTCCCCCTCCGTGTATCACCAGGCATAGAGGTGGGTGGCCTTCTAAATGTTTTAGACCCTCTGTATCTGTTTACAGTGGAATTTTTCTCTCTCTCTTTCTGCTGTTCTTTGTTGGTAAAATGCAAGGAGAATGTAAGCTGCTTGGACGCGGCGGTCTCTTATTTTGTCCCTGTATCCATTAAATGTTATCCTACTGAATCACAAATTCTTTTAAGGCAGAGAATACTCTGTAAGCTACACAAGGCCAGGTAATAAATCTTAGCACTGTCTAACTTATCGGTGTTCAGAATATAGCAGGTGCTTAGTAAAAGTTGAATTGAATTGCTGTGGTAAAATGCATGTGGCCCAGGGAGCACAGGAGGTCTTCTCTCTCTAAGAAGCTGCAGCTTGGAGGCTCAGGCAGCCCAGGTTCAGCTTCAGTCCAGGAGAAGGAGCCTCCAAAGAGAAGGGTCACGTTCTTATTTGTTGTCTTTGGTTCATTACATTCCTATCTCAGAGTGGAATTCTGAGGATCATCCCTTCAGCAAAACTTAAGTTTGATTCATGTCTAGGGCCTTACCTTCTAGAAAAATACTAAAAATACAAACTACAGAAGGCATAGGATAGCTGCTACTTCTTTTAACACCAAAGACTCATAATTACACATAATACTGCCTCTGGAATGTTCCCGTTTATCAATCTTGCTTGCAGGGTTGGGTCCTCAGATGGTCACTGCCACAGGTATACTTACCTTCAGTAATAAGCCAGTAAACATAATTAATTCAAAGCAAATGTGAAGATATCATGGTAAGAATAGTAGCTATAAAACATTTTCTCTGTAATCCTGGGGTTCATCGTGTCATTCCACACAACCTCCATGAGAAGAGTGGGCTTCAACTGTGGTCTGAGGCACACATGTGAAGAACACATGTGGCCCCGGCTCCAGATCTTCTGGGCCTTAGTGTCCTTTCTCTCCTTGTTCAGCCCTCACAAAGCTCCTTTACTCTACGTGGGTGGGCGAGGCATCTCTGCTGGGCTCCCAGGGTGTGGTGTTCTCTGCAGTTTCATTCTTAAATGCCAGGGTTAGCTCTGTCTTGAGTCGGTGTTGAGTCTGTCTTTTCTACTGCCAAAAGCCCTGCTCCTCAGCAGTGCTTCCCGCCTCAGGTGAATGCCTTTCTCTGTGTATGTCTAATGCTGTTTCCTCTACTGCATCTTGAAATCTGAAGCTGCTCAGTGGAGTCTCTTAGTGGGCAAGAAGCTGGTAATGGGGAAGGAGAGAGAAAGCTTTATCTTCTTTTGCAGGTTTCTCATTCCATAGGGCTCTGGGCCTGACTGACTGCAGCTTGGCTTTCTTTTAAGGGTCACGTGGGCACGTGGTCAGTTATTGCTGTTCCCTTTAATTCCATCAGAGAAAGGAGACAGAAGGAGCAGCCAGAAGAAGCAGAAGAGGTCTTGTCAGCAGTGTCTAGGACAGCCTGAGCACTAAGCGTGCTCCGTAGGAGGGGCTCTTCCATCCGATCCTCCCACTACAAAAGGAAGTAGATACCCAAGGAACCAAGTTCAACAGGTGGTGTTTTCAGTTGACAATTATAATTCCTTAGATTCTGCCTAAGAGACAAGGGAAGAGAATATTGCCACAGTATTTACACTTTGATAATCCTTATCCATTCTTCCCTTGTAAGGGAAGAAAACAAGGTGTCAAGAGTTTGTTCCTTAGTACCCATGTTGGTGCTTTGATTTATCGATGACAGATCTGACCCAGACGTTAACGGACATCGGTGCTAGTCTCCGTTCTGCTACTAACTATGTGTGGCCCTGGGTAAATGACAGAGCTTCAGTCTCCTTATCTGGGAGCAGTGAGTGGCACAGACAGCTCTGAAATTCCATGATGCTCCTCTGTGTGAGGCAGCGTGCCAGGGGTGGGAATAGAAAGACAAAAACCGAGCATCGTCTGTCTTCAAGGAGAAGATAACATGTACATCTACAAGCGTAGCTACAATAAATGCGAGATGATTTAGGGGGAAGGTGGCACTTCAGCCAAGCTCTGATGGGAACTGGAGAGTCTGAGAGGCAGAGATGAGGAAGGACATCTTCGGAGGGGCAAAGAAGCCGCTCCAAAAGTGCAGAGGTGGGAGATGGCGTGGCATGTCGAGGAACAGCCAGAAGGCCGAAGGGCCTTCGCATGCCAAGTGACGCAATGTGAGCCGAGAGCTCCTGAGCAGAGGAGTGAGCTTTAGGAAAATCACCTTGGGAGCTGTGGAAGGTGGTCCGGAGGTAGGGAGGCCGCTGAGGAACCTGTGCTATGCACACCGCTGCCGCCTCAGTTTGGGCCCTCGTCCCCTCTCACCTAGGTTATCGCAGCAATGTCATGACTGATCTCCCTGCCTCGGGCCTCTCCTCCCTCCAGCCCATCCTCTTCACAGCTGCCAAATACAGATAGCACCGCGTCGCTCCTGCACTCGTTCAGCTCCGATGGCTCCCTGGTGTTTGTAGAATCAAGAATGAAGTACTCCAAATCAAGACCCCAAACTCTCTTTCCAGTTGCATTGCACATTATTTTACCTCACAAACTGACTTTTTAAAATTCCTCATATTTCTCTCTCCTCTAATGCACTGCCTCATGACCTCTGCCTGATGGAGTCCCTTTCTTCCTTCAAGATAGGCCTCAAGCACCATCTTACCCGTCATGCCTTTCCTGATCCCCCAACTAGTAATGCCTTCCCTCCCAAATTACCTGCTAGTTAACTACTCTGTACACATTTGCACTTTCTCTCTTTATATTTATGCTGTACATATTTTATATATATATTTAGATGTGTGTGTGTGTATATGTATATATATGCATATATATGTACATGCTGTCTCTCCAGTTAGCATGTGTACAAGTAGACACGATTTGATGTGTTGCATTTAGCCCCTTGTCCATAAGGAGGGGCAGAATACTTAGCGACTGACTGAAGCAGAATTGACAAGATTTGGTAACTGATGCATTCCTTACTCAAGGAAGGCTGAGGGGAGAGTGTGGAGCCAAGAAGGACGCTGAGCTTCTGAACCTGTGTCCCTGGAAGAATGGAAGTACCCTCTACAGAAAGAGGGAAGTTAGTAAGAATGGTGAAGGGGGAGAGGTTTTCTTTTAACCAGGTGAAATTTGAGGTGTCTATGGGACATCCATTCTGGAACATCTGGTAGACATATTCCTTAAGAAAACAAAAAAGCCATTAACCAGTTTATAAAATCCTTCTTAGATGTTTTTAATCATTTTGAATGAAGGGGAAATGAGATAAGCATTTAAACAGCTCATCTTTTGGCTATTTCTTCACTCCCACCTAGACTATTTAACAGAGCCCTTTCGCATGTCTAAGGGACCCCAGACCAAAGTTCACCATGCCATACCTGGCATTTTTCTTCCCCTCTCATAGCCCTTCTTCCATTTATAAGAGGCTAAGGAAGTGCAAGTTCCCAAACACTTTTATTTATTTTTAGAAGTTCATGACCATAGAGGCACCACAGCTCACAAAATCCATTTTCCCCATCTCCTAGATGGATTTACTAACCCATTGCTCAGATTTTTATTCCCATCGCAAATAAAAATATTCGATCTCCTACCCCCAACCTTGTAATATTCCCTTTAAAAAAAACCACTACTAAATCAAATTTACTTCCCTTTATTCAGAAGTAAAAAATGAAGACGAACTACCTTGAAATGGTCCCTGTGATGTTGGCGGTTGTGATCATGATGGAAATCTTTCAGGTAAAGTGAACCTTGCTAGGGGTGAGGGGTTTGGATACAGTGAGTGATTATTGGGATGGAAAGCTCCCAGATAACCTTTCCTGAGCCATTTAAGGGGAGGGGAAGAGGAATTTTCACATAAGGGAGAAGAGTAATAAATAGAAGAGATACTGAATTTTGCCAAAGTAGAGAAACAATGTGATACATTTTTTTTTGAAAAAGATAGTTCAGGACTTTGTATCAAGGAATTTAGTCTCAAGTCCTCATTCTGACATTTACTAACTGCTTAGCTGCAGTTATTTCACCATGCCTTGCCTCTCTGCGCCTCAGTTTTCTTTTCTGTAAAATGGGGCTAATAACACTAGGCCACCCATCTCCTCAAGTTAAAGTGCTTTGTAAATGTGAGCTCTAATTGTTGAACAGTTGGTTTCTTTTAACAGGTAAAGGAGGGTATATACTATCAGATCTGTTCATCTGGGCTTTTTTGTCTGATCCTTAGCTCTCAAGCCCTTTAATTCTTATTGAGTGCTGGTGCGAGTGAAATCACAATTCAGGGTACTCTTTGTTCTGAACATACAGTCAGCTGTGGCTTCTGGCCAAAAGAACATGAATGCGTTCTTAATTTAGCACAGTGACAGATTTTTTTTTTAGAGTTGTGGTGTGGCTTACATTATGCTCCAGGCCAAACGATTGAACCGGGTAAGTGTCCATGAGTCCTCTTGTCTGTACTTTCTTCAGGACGCAGGAAAATAGCACGTGTGGGGTAAGAGGTGGCCGACGTTCGGTCCTGCTGGGGCGTGGCCCCACGTGTGGGTGTGATGCATCCCCCGGTGCTGCGGCCTGCTCATTCTGCTGGTTATTACTTTACTGAAGAGAGCAGGATGAGGGAGACCCCGGTGTCCAAGGGCTTCTCAGGCTAGGTAGTGCAGCATTTGGTCATCTGGACTTCTTAGTCCTGAACTGAGTACTAACTAGCTTTGTGATTTCAGTAAGGTCTCCAAGCCTCAGTTTCATAATCTGTAAAATGGGAAAAACTGACCGCACCTATCTCACAAGTATTGTTGTGAATACAAAACTAGATAATAGATGTGACACCTGTCTGAAAATTTGTAAGAATGTATGTATTTATGAGGACTATCTACAATCTAAGTTTTCATCATTATCAGCATTGCTGAAATACTTCCACCACAAACATCCTCCTCTCTGAAAGTTCCTCCCTGTTCTCTCACTAGCAGCTCCCAACCCTTCCCCCCAGGCCAGATGTATTCTTGTAAGCAAGAGAACCTTTTGAAGAGTAGTGAAATTAGGGGCAGCGAGGTGGCGCAGTGGATAGAGCGTTGGCCCTGTTGGCCCTGAAGTCGGGAGGACCTGAGTACACGATACCGTCTAGCTGTAAGGCAACCACTATATATCAGTACCTAGGAATGTTTCAGATTACAGTTCTGGGAAATTTTAATTCAGATGATCTTGGAATGTTAAAATTAATTGTTATCTATGTGTTATTATCAAAGGAATAGTTATCATTCTCCAGAACCACAGAAGGGAGAACAGTCATTTTCAGCATTCAGGAGACTCCTTCTGGTCCTTCAGTGTCCTTTCAGAACCTCTGACAAACATGCTTTGTAAACACAGTGTCCACATAAAGGTTTGTTCAGCTGTTTTCTCCAACCTCTACTCAGAGCATCAAGGTCTTACTTACCTCCCTGGTACTAAAGTTCACAGAGTTACTGAATACTGGAATTGGAATGGGTGTTTGGCCACCCTCCAGACCAGTGGTGTCAACCTCAGGCAGAAGCAAGAGCCACCAAACTGCACACAGGGTCCTGTGGGCCACATATTTACCTCTGTTTCTTCGTATTTTTATTTTTTTGAAAAGAGTTCTCAATTACATTTTAACCTGGTTTGGCCTGCACTTGAGTCTGGGTTGTGTGTCTGATGTCTGATACCTGTCTCTGCTGTAGATCATCCTCCTTCTTTAATAGATGAAGACACAAGCCCTGAGAAGGTTACGTGAGTTGCTTTAAGTCATATAGCCTGTAACTAGCACAGTAGCATGGCTGAGTTCCCACGAACCCAGACTTTCTTCTACTTACTGCTTTACAAGGGAGTGTATGTCAGAACTCGGGTCTTCTGATTCTGAGCCTGTTAACTTGTTGATCTCACACCGCCTTCCCATCTCCATCGCTAGCTCTTGAGCTAAAGATGAGGCATTGTGGATTTCCCCTGTGACGTGGTCCCCAGGCTGGCTGGCGATGGGGCTTCGAAGAGGAGTGTTGTGATTCTAAGTGACTCAGTAGAAATGGTATGGGTAACTGGGGAGGAACCAAGTTATGCACCTAAGGCCTTTACGGTATGGTTTACACAAGCTGGCCACCAGGCCCAGGATGTACTTCTAGCTCTTACCGTCCCCGAAGTCCTTCAGGGCCCAGTTCAGGCGCCATCTCCTAGAGGAGCGTTTCTTGATCTCAGCAGTGGTTAGACTTCTTTCTCTTTCCTCCAATCATCTTGGATTTATTTATCAGTGTACCGCCCCCCCCGTCCCCCGGTAGAATGTCGGATTCCTTGAGGATAAAGACTTTTGTTATATCCCTAACACTTTTCTCAATACCTTTTTAAATAAATTTTTAATTGAATTAATTATAATTTAGACAGGCAAACACTCTTTTTCAGTCATCTGTGGAACCTTAATTCAGATTCTGGATGAAGGAAGGAGGCCTTTCCTTTGCCAAAGTCAGCCTCTCTGCATGCACCTTCTGTCGCATCTCCTTCTGACTTCTCTAGCAGATTGCTCCTACTATGTCCATGTCTCCTCATTCATTAAAAAAAACAACAGACAAACAACTCAACCCTTACTGGGTCCTACCATTGCTGTTAGCTATTTTTCTGCATCTCTCTTCCCCTTCTGAGCTAAATTCCTTGAGAAAGTTGTGTATGCTTGTAACCTCTACTTCTTTTCCTTTCTAAGTACTCTGCAATCTAAGTTCTACCTTCAGCATTCAACTGACATGACCCCCTCCAGAGTTAGCAGTGGTCTTAAGTAACCAGAATTACATAATCACCAGGTCCAGTGGCCTTTTCTCAATCCTCATCCTTCTTGACCCCTCGGCAGCCTTTGACGTGTCCGTCATATTCTTCTCCTGAATACCTTGCCTTCTCTAGGTTTGCCTGCTACTGCTTTCTCCTCATTCTCTTCCTACCTGTCTGACCATTCCTTCTCAGCCTTCTTTGCTGGTTCCTCACATATAGGTGTCTCCCAAGGATCTGCCCCGGACCTTCTTTTCTTTTTGCTCAGCAGCATCTTACTTGGTGATTTGATCAGCCTCCATGAGTTCAGTGATCATCCCTTTCCAGATGATTCATATATCTAGTTATCCAGGCCTTAATTTCTCTCCTGAGCTCCACTTAGAAATCACCAAATGACTTTTAGATAACACAAACTGTGTCCCACAGACATCTCAAACTGAACATGTTCAAATTGGAGCTCATCTGTCCCCCAAAACCCCGCCCCCTGAAATCCCCTGTTACTGTTTAAGGCTCCCACCATCCTCTTGGACAGCCAGGCTCAGAACCTCAGTGCCCTCCTCGGTGCCGCCCTCTCCCCCTGCACTTCCAGCTTATTGCCAGATTTCCTAGTTTACCATGGCTCTCTCCCTTCACGCAGGCACCACCCTGGTTTAGGCCCTCATTACATTTCTCTTGGACGTGACATCGGCCTTCCAACTGTCTCCCTGCCTCAAGTCTTTCCCCACTGTGGTCCATCCTCTCCTGGCTGCTAAGGTGATTGTTCTAAAGTGTAGGTCTGACTACGTCAGCCCCCGCTCGGTGAGCTGCCCTGGCTCCCTGTTAACTTCTAGGATCAAATAGAGCCCTCTTTTTGGTATTTAAAGCTCCTTCTAGCCTGGTCTCTAACCCCCGCTCCTCTCCACACACAGTCTGACCTGGGTGCAGTTCCTGACACGCTGTCACCCATCTCTGTGCCTCTGCAATGGCTTTCTTTCATCACCACCTGTTAGCTTCCCTGGCTTCTTTCAAGACTGAGCTCGGATGCCATCCCATGCAGGGCCTTCCCAGTCCCACAGCTGCAAACGCCTTCCCTTCTCAGGTTGCCTTCCATCTGCTTTGTATAAATCTTCCACACACCTAGTTATTATATGGTGTCTCAGTTATTAGAATGTCAAGTCGTTGAGGGCAGGGGTTAATCTTTCCTTCCTTTGTAGGCCCAGCCTCAGTACGGTGTCTGACGCATGGTAAGTGCTTAATAAAGGATTGCTGATGGACAGAATAGTGGATAAAACGAGACATTTCCTGTAGTACAAAGACAGTCTCTGAAGGTGAACACAGGGGGAGCCGCGTCTTCTTTCCCTGTTTTGAGAGATAGCAGACAGGAAAGTAAATGATTCGCATAATATCTCTCATTTCCACAATGTCTATTTTCTCTCCTCCTTCAGGTTAAGGGTCATCTGTTAAGCATGTCCGCTGATACTTTTGATGACCAGTACCTGAAGTGTGCTGAAAGGATGGAGACCAAATTTGTTCCCAAGTTGCTCATTGAGGAAAAAAACAACCATAAGCTCTTCCATTCTGTGTGGACAGAAGCAGCCTCCCAGTGGGATTTAAAGAAGGCCCAGCTGTTGCTCCCTCTAGGCTTTCAGGATAACCACGGCATAGCGCTCACGACGTACGCTTCACAAGCTCGGAGGCAGACCCCCTTTTACCAAGAGTTCAGCTCTGCCGTAGAGAGAGCTGGAAGGTCTCGAGATGATTATATCTACAGCTTTCCGTTCAAAGCTTTACACTTCTATCTGACAAGAGCCTTGCAGCTTTTGAGCAGAGAGTGTTCGCAGAGTTATAGGCATCCAGTATATGCCAAAAGCCTTTTAACTTCTTCTGGGCCTCCTGGACATGTTGAGATCAGGTTTGCTCATTTTACCTCTTTCAGTGTCAAACCTGAGCCTGTATCTGACTCAGAAACATTGTTCACTGTCTACACGTGTTTTGGGATTTCTACAGAAATAGTTTCTGATTCAGTAAATGGAAGCATCTTAATACCTCTGAATGAGGTTTTTAAACTGACCCAGGAAGGAAATAGAACCAGCTTGGTCCTTAGAAGCATGAACAAGACCTGCAGCTATTTTGACTGTGCATACCTTGGAGGTAAGTGGGTCTGTTCTTCTTTACTGACATTAGGAGCATGAACATGGCTTTCTTAGACCTGGGGGTATTGGGAAGGTGGAATTGACAAGGAGAGTTTCTACTGACTGGATCCGTGTTTTCATCTGATCCTTCACATCTGACCAGTTCAGAGCAGGCCTCCTTTGAAAATAAGTGCACAACTCGGAGATCCCAGACCTTCCGTGACTAGAAGTTTGTGGCCATCTATTCAACCAATAGATTTTGTCACTGCCTTAGTTCCTTGTGGGCATATGGCTACTGTTTTGAAAAAGTCCAAGAACAGGGATGCATGGGCTTAGATTTTTTTCAAGTAGCTCTATGAGTGTACATATCTAGCCCTAGAAAACACATGACTGAGGCCTGGGAATGCATCTGAGCTCTCCCACCTGGGTGGCCATGGCAAAATCACTTCGCTTTCTTGGAACTCTCCATTTTCTCTATTGCAAATGATCCCTAAAACATCTTCCAGTTCTGTGTCCTGTCATCTCTCCAGTCTTTTGCCTAGCCATCATGATTCTCTAGGTAAGACCTGAATTCTAGCATCAATTGGCAGGTATCAGAGTCTGTATATTAGTGGCTGATACAGTTTAAATCTCTATCGTTTTACTAGAAAAAATGTCAGCGTGCCCCCTGGATTATAAAAGGTCTTCAGCATTTCCTTTAGGGTCAAAAAACAAATCCTCTATAGCAGAGCAGGGATGCAGATGTCTGCCTGGCCTCCCAGATAAATCTTGTCAGAAGAAGGGATGTTAACTGAGTACCATGTGGTCAGTCCTTAAAGCTTCTACTGTATGTCAAGTGCTGGGCTTTCTAAAGGACTAGCTGAAATCTCAGGTTGTACCAGTGAGTGAGTCTCAAACAGGAGGAGGAGGACGCAGGCGGATTGAACCAGAAGTTTTGGTCACCTTTGTCGTGTTTTAGGTTTGCATACAGATAATGGTCATTAGAGTTCATTGGCCAGCTGATTGCAAGTTCAGTGCCTTGGCTTTGTGTCTGTAAGGGGACGGTGGGTAGGCATTAATGCCTCCCACTGGCATGGTGCTGAGCATCTGTGAGCTCAGAGGACAGGGGTTCTGTCTCCAAACGCGAGCTGTGTGTCTCTGGGCCCGTTACTTCTCTCCTTTGGCCCTCAGTTTCCTCCTCTGTAAGATAAGAAGGAGGTAGCTCATGGAACCCCACTCGTGAGTAATTCAGTCCAGGCAGGGCTTAGCGCCAAGTGGCCGATCCTCCAGGAGGATGGAATGACTTGTATATGAACACGTGAATGTCTCCTGAGCAGGGCTTGATGAGCCCAAGTTTAACAAAGCTTGTGAAGCTCGGTAAGAGCAGGGGCCGGGTCTTCATTATCTTTGTGCCCCTCCTTCCTCTAGCCCCCTCCCTATACAAATACTAATGCTCTTCACACGAGAGGCACATCATAGCGCTGACCGAATGAGTGGGTAAACGAATGGCATGAATGCGGTATACGCTGTGCTGTAGAGGTGAAGAACTTGATTGGGGTTCTTTTATTTGGGCCAAAGTAAAAGGATTCCCGAAGCCTGTGGTAGAAGGACAGTTCTGTGTGCCACCTGAAGGAAGACGCCCATACGCGAGGCAGGTGGCTTTGTGTGTGCGTGCTGGGCACTAGGGCAGACCATAGGAAGCGTAGAGGCAGAAGCTAAATGAAGGGGGCTTCTGACGCCACTGTCTGAAAAACAGAAGAATGTCACTCCTCGTGTGCCACGTTCTTTACTAATTTGTACTAACTTGGAAAGATCAGTTTGATCATAAAGTAATTTTAAATAGAGTAAGCAACTTTATCTATTCATTCTTGGGCTGTTCTTTTAAGAGGATGTTTTTAGTGACTAGGTTAAAATGATTTGGTATTCAAATATAAAGTATTTACAGATACTTTAAGTAACCAAATTACATTGTTCCCTGGAAATCTTTCCCCCCCCCCCAAACTTATTTTAATTCAGATAACATATTGTTATGGGAAGAACATTGAATTTGGAGCCAGAGAACTGAAAATCAAATGCCAGCTCTGTTAGTGACTTATCTGCGTGAGTTTGGGCAATCCGTGAATCTCCCTGGGCCTCAGCTTCTTCATCTGCAGAATGGGGAGGGTTGGACGAGTGGATCTCTAAGGTGCCTTCTAGCACTAGATCCTGGGATCCTAGAAAGGGAATTCCAACCTTTGTAAGATTATCACAGGTTCTGGATTAGCAGAGTCCCGGTTCATGAGGTATTATTTATTTACTTTATTTATTATTGGATTTAAAGATTACAGGTTCAGAGCTGGGAGGGGCCTCAGAGGTTATCTCCTTCAGCTCCCTTCTTTCATCGGCTGAGGCTGAGAGGGTCAGTGCCTTCCCCCAGGTCACAGAGGTAGAAAGTTGTAGAAGCACGACTTGAACCCAAGTCTTCAGATTCTAAATCCATTGGAGTTCCACTGTGTTTCCTTTGGGCTAATTAGTGGCTGAGTGGAGAGGATGCAGGGCAGGGAGTCAAGAAGACCTGCCGTGGAATCCTGGCTCATGGTCTGTGTGACTGGGCTTTTCTCCACTTTAGCTTCCTCTTCTGTAAGATGAGGGTTGTTGGGAAGATCGAGTGCCTTGGAAGGCCCTGTCCATCTCTGAGCCTCTGCTCTTATTTATGTAGTACCTCGTGAACCCAGACTCCATGAGCTCAGAATCTGGGAGAGTCTCACAAAGGTTGGGATGCACCTGAAAGGCTCACAGCCCTTAGAGACCTGCTAGGCCAGCCCTCCCCATTCTGCAGATGAGAAAACCGAGAAGGATCAGAGGAGACTTTATACATACTTATACATGCATCACCCATCCATCCATTCTTGCATGTACACACAGTAGCAATGCAGGCAGGCAGGTAAGCACTTTGTAATCATGTGCTATGTGCCAGACACTGTGCTAATCACTGGGAACCAATACAAGCCTCCCCCAAAAATAGACGAAGCTTCTAGTCTAGTGGGAGAAGACAACCCACTAAAGAGACCTGAAATCAGGAAGAGAGGAATGAAGGGACCCTTGTTGGGGCAGGATGGCTAAAGCCAGAAAGGCAGAAGAAAGCTGGGAGCATAATGAAGGATGGCAGGGGACCTCGCCACGGTGGAGAGGCTGTCCTGGGATGGAAGGGCAGCTGAGGCATGGTGGCAACCTCCAAAGAATCTGTCCTTGCGGATCTTAGCGTCCTGTATAGACGTGAGCTATGACTGCTGTTTTGTCACAGGGCCTCAGAAAACCATCATCGTTTTCTGAAGGCGGATCAAAAAACAACATGAATTTAAATATGCCTTCAGATTCTTTGTAGCACAGGTTGAATGGCCCTTTAGGTTCAGCTTCCTGACTCTGATCTAACAGGAGGGAGCTCTGGGGCCTGCTTCCAGCCCTGCGCCTGGCCCCCCCGCTCGGGAAGCCCCTCCGAGCGGCTCGCATGCCTGTGGAGGGCTGGGTGCCTCCTTTTGTGTAGCTGCTGAGGCCCTGGCTCTTCCACAGACGATAAGTGAAGTGCAGGCCCAGCTGGCCGTGAGCGGGTCCCCAAGTTCCCAGGGGGTCTCCTCAAACCAGAGTGGGGCAAGCCTGGGGATGCTCTAGGCCTGAGGGACGGGGAACCTGCAGCCTTGAGACCACACTTGGCCTTCTAGGTCCTTGGGGCCACCTTCTGACTGAGTCCAGGTTTTACAGAACAAATCTTTCTGTCAAGGGGATCTGTTCTGTGAAGTTTGGATTCAGTCAGCAGGCCATACTTGAAGACCTGCAGGGCCACACGTCCCCGCCCCTGGGCTAGGGGCATTGACCATTTTCTGCAGTGGAAACTATGAGTATCATTCATTCAGACAAGTACTCTGTGCAACAGAGGAAATGCTTATGAAAAATGAGAGTTCTCCCTGGTTATTGTCTCTGTCCTGACATTCCTTAACTAATAAGCAGGTTCCTTTTGGGGTCCCAACATTACATGCTCACAGATTTGTTTGGTACTAAAGGTTTACTAAATCCTATAGCAGAGCACATAATAATTTATAGACATAGTGCTTTCATATGTTGAAGCATCACAGTAACCCTTTGATTGTCATTGGTTTTATTATCCTCTTTACAACTGAGGAAACTGAGTCTGAAGGAGGTGAAATAACTTGCCCATGATTCCATGGCTAGCAAGTCTCCGAACAAGGATTTGAACCCGTATCTCTCTGGACTCTGAGTCTAGGGCTCTCTTTGCCGGCTGACAGTCTTCTCACTATAAGAATAAACAATGTTTCTCTCTTGTTTCAGGCTTGAAAACAGAAAACTGTGTTGACAGCACTGGTAAGATATAGTTTGAAGTATTTTCTCAGTTAGTCAGAATCTCGTCGGTGTCTTCTGTCGGTACCTCCTGTCGGTACCTCTCAGAGTGGCCGGCCAGGATTCTCTTTAAGTCCACTGCTGCCACTTACAGGGAGGACGTGGGCTTCCACGGACCTCTTTCTCTCATCCTGTGCCCAGGCAGTGGCTACCTTCCACACTGCTATCAGGCCCACCCAGAAGGGATGTTTAGACACTCAAGAGCTTTCATCCCATCCCCTGCCAGGAACAGTGTTAACAACAAGAGGTGTCCCTGGCTTCATGCTTCTCCCGGCATAGTAGAGCATACTGGGAGAATTCAGGCTAATATGTTTGATTGGTTTTAAGAAAGAAAATTTCAGGGGACAATAAAGGAGTGGAGTCTTGTGTTAGAGGGAGAGAAGGATATGAAATATGAGGCACCTTGTCAGAAAAAGGACAATGCAAAGACGTCTGTCTGGCTTCTTCAGGGAACCTCAGGAGGTTGATGCTGAGAGATGTGAATGTTAGACAAGTATAGAGTTAAAGAGAGTCCACGGGGAACTGACCATCTGACAGCTGTGTGAAAACCTTTTCTGGGATAAAGACACCACTTAGGCCCATCCTTCAGGGATTCCTTTCTCTGGGGACCAGTTTCAATTTACAAGTAGGAGCTTTGCCCACATCCCCTTAGATATACTTTTGAATAACAGAAACCCAGCTTGTTTCTCTGCTTTGTGGCTGGATGATCTCTTCATTTACGTTAACATTTTGTTGGGTCGTTTGAACCACATTAAAGTCCTGGACTCATGGAGAGTTCTTGGCTGAGTTTGACATTAACACAACTACCAAGCGAAATGCAATGAAAACCTGTTTTTTTTTGTTTGTTTCAGGACAGCTTAAGTCCAGATACACCAATTTCCCTGGTGAGAAATCTTTTTTTTTTTAATCTTCCTTTCTCTCTTCCTCTCCTCCATTCCTTCCTTTCTTTCCTCCCTCCCTCTGTCCTTCCTCCTACCTCCACTTTGTTTACATGTTGAATAGCTCTCTTCAATTTATTTCATAACCTAATTTAATGATAATGTCTCTATTTAGGATTGAAATTCAAAGAAAAAGAAGATGAGATCACTGGTAAGAAATGCTTTGGGAGGGGCAGCTAGGTGGCACAGTGGATAGAACTCCAGCCTTGGAGTCAGGAGGACCTGAGTTTAAATCCCGCCTCAGACGCGTGACACTTACTAGCTCTGTGACTCTGGGCAAGTCACTTAACCCGATTGCCTCACCAAAAAGAAAAAGAAAAAACAGTGCTTTGGGTCAGTCAGCCATGTAGCATGTTTTAAGTGCCTGTTATGTGCCAAGTACTGTGCTAAGTACGGGGGTTACAAAGGAAGGCAAAAGATAGTCACAGAGCTCTCGGTCTAAGGATAGGGACAGCCTTCAGATAACTGTGTACAGGCTAAATCAGAGATAAATCCACAGAGGGAAGGCACTGGCTGCTCATAGAAGGTGGGATTTTATGAAGACTTCTGGCTAGAAGGTGGAGATGGCCGAGGGAGATAACCATAGACATGGAGTGCTTGGCGTATTGTGTGTGAGGAGCAGTGAGGAGACCAGGGTCACTGGATCACACAGCATGGGGGAGAGAGCGAAGGATGGGGTCAGGTTATGGAAGGCTTTAAAAGCCAAGGAAAAGATTTTATGTTTGGTCTTGGAGGCAGTAGGAAGCCACTGGAGTTTATTGAATGGGGGTTGACATGGTCTTGTTTAAGAAGATCGATGTGACAGCTGAATGGGTGATGGCCTGGAGGGGAAAAGGCTCGAGGCGGGGAAAGCAGCCAACCAAGAGGCTGTTACCTGGTGTGGATGGATTTGAGGTAGAAAGAAGGAACATTCCTATGGCACAGGGCTCCGGTCAGCAGCCCACAGTTTGACAAGGCAGCCATCTAGGGGTGGTCATGGGTACTGCAGAGGGCTGCCTAGTCTAGTCCTTACGGACTCCATTATCTCGTTCCCCGAAATCCCTCAGCCAGAGGTTGAGCTAGTCTAGAATGGCAAAGAGCAAAACTGTGCCACCATCCAGAGAAGAAGGTGCAAACACAGAGGAGCTCTTGCTTCTTCGACGATGGCAGTTACCTTAGTTGTGACAAGGAGGGTATGATGCCTGGTTATCATGACTAAATGCCCCCCTGGCCTGGGACATGGTCGTTCTGTCATCCCAAGACCAGACTAGGTCTGTGACAGCACCTCCCATGAGCATAGGCTGTGTCTGAGAGTGTCTCAAGTACTTTCCACTGCTGTGGATCACAGAGCCTTGTGAAACTCAGATCAACCAGTGCTTTGTGGGGATCAGGGATTTTTCTCGCTACCACTCCTCAGTACCGTAGGCCAGAATGAGGTTCCTAACGTGACCATGTAGGGTATCGTGCCTCCATCTCTCTGATTGGGCTGCTGGGAGCCAGGGATGAACATCGAGCCCTGCCAAATTACTGCTGAATCATCCCACTTTCTGTCCCGTGGCATAGGGTGTGCCACAGTACATGCTACAAGAGTGACCATCGAAAGTTTAAAAAGAGAAGGGGAGATGGTATTCTAGGAATCCAGATAGTGTAACCAAGGCAAAGAGAGCTCCCATGGTATGTTCTGAGAAAAATGAGTAGACCAGTTGGCTTGAAGAGGGCTTGTGTGAGAGAATTAAGTAAGAGATGAGACTGGAAACTCATTGAAGGCCTTGAATATCAGGCTAAGAAATATGTTGAATTAATCCTAAGGGTAAGGGGGAACCCATTAAGGCTTTAGAGTAGAGCTGAGATGTCACCCCATTAAGGCAACCCTCACCAGTCAACATTTTCCATTTCACAGAAATGAAGAGCCATAAGCCTCATGGTCCAGAAGGTGAGTGGTCTTCCTGTGCACTCTCTCATGACTTCCACAGGCCCTCTGAGGGGAGCTGAGAGTTGTTTCCAGAACATGGTGTGACATAACACTCTTGTGGCTGCCTGCAGAGGCCTTTACAGCTGTATCTTGGAGTGGGAGGAGAAGAAAGGAGAGATGTCTTTTCTCTTTGGCCCTCGTGAGCAAGAGCCATCTTAGCTTGAGGGTGTAACCACCTCAAATATTTTTTTAGATGGAATTTTTGTGCTGTTTGATAGGAATTCAAATCTTCTATCCAGATACATTAAAAGAACAGAAAGAAAAGTCAATTTGAAAAGCATTTAATAATGACTTGAGGAAGTAGCAAAGGCAAACTTTTCTGGATCAGATTCTCACAAATGGGGAGGATCTAGTTGCTGGGGTAGAAATAATGGGAATCCTGGGAGGAAATGACCACTCCATCCTCAAGTTTGTGAAAGAGGAGAGAAACCCTAAAGATCTTCTGATAGGCACCTGAGGTACTGGGAAAGCCGCTTGCACAGGCTCCGGGGGGAGAGAAGTCAGATCCCACGGGGTAAAATGCTTCAGGGAAAGTCAGCCCAGGAAGGAGGGAAACTCTGAAGACACAGAGGGAAACACTTTTTGTGAGGAGGTAAGACAGGATTTGTTTGAAGACTAATGTGGTATCCCAGAGAACATACCAACCAACTTAGACCGTAAAAAGTGATGTTCATCAGAGAATGAATAGAAGAACGTAGCGTGGTCTTATAAAAATGATACAGAGAGTGGTAAAGCTCATAATGAGCCCAAGATCGATCCAAGAGCAACTGGAAGAGCTGTGCTGGACAAGAAGGACCAGAGGTGTTGGACCTTGGTTGGGGCGAATGAGACAATGAGGACAGACAGCAGAGAAAGCAGGGCTGCCCAGTGCTCCCTTTGGGCCTCTCTGCAGAAGAGAGCCACCTTGGCCCTAGAAACAACAGGGCAGAAATGACTGACGGGGAGTTGAAACCCAAGAAGAGGAAGGAGGTGTTAAGACAGCGCCTCACCACCCCCGATGACTTCATGTCCCTCTCCCGGGTGATCCATTCTCAGGGCCTGAAAGATCCTGCGTTTGATGCTTGAACCGCTGTCTGTGGTACCTGTAAGATCAGGGAAAGATCAGGGTGGAGAGGGCAGCTGTTGTCCTGACTTTCAAAAAGATAAGAACAGAATCTTCACTTCATGGGAAAATCCTAGAACCAATAATTAAGGAGGTAGTTGGGGAACATCTAGATTGGGGAAGCAGGAACTGCAAAGAACTAGCATGATTCCTAAAGAACAGTACGTACCAGACTAACCTCATTTCATTTTGTCAGGATTATTGAGTTAGTAGATAAAGGGGTATAGCTAGCTAGATTTTGGTAAAGCCTTTGATAAAATATCTCATTCATATGTATTTATTATATGTATGTGTATACATATACACACACAAATATATACATATACATGTATCTTTTAAAAATATGTTTGTGTGTATATACATATGTACGTACATGTATTTTCACCCCCAGTTACATGTTAAAACAATTCTCATAGATTTCTCATGAAGAAAATGGAGACATATGCACTAGACTAGAGGTATCAATTAGACAATAATAGAAGCAAATGGATTCAGAACTGGTTGAATGGTGGCTCAACACAGATGGAATGTCCCGGGAATCAGTACTCGGACTTGTTTGATGTGTGGCATTTTTATCAGTTACTTGGATAGAGATGTAGACGGTGTGCTCCTCAGATTTTCAGACGACACGAAGCTGGGAGGTTTAGCCAGCCCGTTGGCCATCTCCAGGATCCAAAAGAACCTTGAGAAGCTAAGGGCATTGGGCTGACTCTTATAGGTTCAGTATAGATAAATGTAAAGTCTTGTGCTTAGTTCAAAAAATCAATTTTATAGGAAGACATCGCGATACAGGAGAAAGATCACTGGTTCCAGAACACTGGGTTCAAATCCTGCTTCTGATTCTTACTAGCTGAGTGACGTTGGGCAAGTCTCTGAACTTTCCCAGCCCTAGTTTCCTCATCTGTACAATGAGGGGATTGGACCAGATGTGCTCAAAGGGCCCTTCAGGGCAGGCACGGTTAGCTAGAATTGTTCTGAAAAAGATCTCAGAGCTTTAGTGACTGTGAGCTTTGTCTGAGTCAGCAGTGTGATGTAGGAATCTAGTGCAGTCGCAGGCTGCTTGGAGAGCGGCCTGGGCTTCCAGTCGAGAGGCGATGGTGCCTTGGCCCTCGGCCCTCATCAGGCCTCCTCCGGAGTGTTGTGTGCAGTCCTGGGCACTGCAGTCTAAGGAAGACATCCGTATGCTGTGCAGGATCTATAGGAGGGCAGGAGAGCAGGACGGCCAAGGGCCTGGAGTCCGTGAGCCCGGAGTATGGGCACAGAGCACTGGAGGGCAGAACCAGCAGCAGTGGTTGGACGTTACAGAGGCCAGTTTGTGCTGAAAAGCTTCCAACCATTGGAGCTTTCGGTGGAGTGGGCTGCCTGGCGAGGAGGGAGGTTCTTCCTTGGAGGTCTTCAAGCAGTGACTGGACAGCTGCTGGTCTTAGACACGTTATAGCAGGGATTCCTTTTATGAATGGGTTGAGCTGAGTAGCTGCTGAGGGCCCTTCCAGCCTCTCAAGCTCTGTGACTAATAATGCAGCTTCCATAATATATGTGAAGCCTTACGAGCTCTTCGTGTACATTTTTTTCATAAGGGTAGTTCTGTGATTTAAACCAGGCCACGTGGATTCTGCTTAAAGGAACCCTGGGAGAAAAATCAGGTCTCCTTCAGTGACTTGCTACTTCCAGGGTGATAATATTTCCCTACCAACCTACCTTAGAGGGGTGTTGTGAGAATAAAATGAGCCAGGGGATCTGAAAGTAATTGTATAAATTATTAACAGCACTGTATAATGTATGAGAGGAAGATCTGGCTGTTTATGTTGCATAATGGCCACAGTGTTTCATTAGCACCACTTAGCATTCTTAAATCTTTCAGATAAGACACATTCTTATGGTTCTGTTTGGGATCTTCTTTGGAATGGGTGTTTATCCCAGGGCACATGCTGGAGCTGCCATTCTCCACCTGCTGGGCCGTGAGCTATGTCCCCCAAAGAACCACACGGCTACTTTGCCAGAATAGAAACTAGGTCAGAATTCCAATTGAGTACAGAATGCTCCCACTCAGTCTCACAGTTTTGGCTAACTATATGTTTATGAAAACCAGTGGGATCACAACTACTGTCAGTAAAAGAGGGGTATGATAGTAAGATAGAGAATGCTTCACTGGAAACACAGTCTTACTTATTCCCCTTGAGTAAATCACTTACCATGTTGGGGGTCTCATTGATTCCAAGTCTGTATTCCTGTGGTACCAATCCATTCAGCATGCATCTTCAGTGGGATGCTCCTGAATGTGATTAAAAACTGCCCAGTTAAGTAGGATCTGTGTGTTTGGACCTTTGGAAATTGGAAAACCTGACAGTCATGGCATCACCCATGCTCATGTTTCTTGAGTTTATTATGAAATTGTGTTTTTAAATTGCGTTGAGATAACATCCTCAAACTTTTCTTCTTATTCAGAAATGAACGCAGAGCAGGAGCCTGTTGAAGACCCTGGTAAGAGATAGTTTCTATCAGTAGGGGTGTGTATCGAGTGCAGGGGGAGAGGTAAAGGGGGGAGGACTTGATGTGGCATCCTGAGTGTCCTTGAGGAGGACCCTCTTCACCAACAGCCGTTCCATATCCCAAGGTGAAAATCACACGGGGAAAGTACTGTTGAGTCTGTTCAAAAAAGCATTAATGAAGCACCTGCAACTAGGATGTAATGCCGAATGCAGGTCGGTCCCTGGAAATGAAGGAGCTTCTTTTGTGGATTCTCCATCACACTTAAATAAGAGGGTGATACCGACTCCTGGGGGGCACTGGAAAGATGGGGGGAACAGTAGTAGCCTTGGGTGCAATCGTACACTTAATCTGAGACTTCTTTCCTAGTTTGTGAGATTTCCAAGGGGGCTCTGAGTAATCTTTTTTAAAAGGAGGAGGTAGGTCAAATAAGTTTGGGAACCTACGGGCTAAAGGATGGACTCCAGCTTTCATTAGATATTTTATGCAGGAACTCTGTAAGTTTGGTTTTCTTGAAGGCTTCAAAGCCTGGGAGAATAGCAGTATTCTTGGAGATGACAAATGATCTCTGGCTCCATCACTTCATTTAGCTGCTTCTGCCAGTGCTGAATTCTTTGCCGATATTGCCCTGGCTCCTATAGAAGCTGCTAAAGTTAGAATTCAAACCCAGCCAAGCTATGCCAACACTGTGAGGAAAACAGCTCCTGAAATGCTTAAAGAAGGCCCTACACGCATGCCCAGACGCACTGCTCCCTTTTGGATGGGACAGATGCCTTAGGCTGCGATGAAGTTTGCTTGCTTTGAGCAGACTGCCAAAGCACTGTACGAGGATAGCATTCCAAAGCCCAGAAGTGAATGTTCAAAGAGTGGGCATCATCTGTGCTGTCGTCCCTCATCCTGCTGACTCTGGCATCTATGTGGAATGAGAGAAAGGGCAGTTGTGCTTCACAAAGGCCTCCAGAGGCTTAGATTCCACGGTGTCTGTATCATGGTGATGGGCACTTTAACAACACCACAGTGGCTCATCTGGAAGGCCATGAACATTGGTTTCCAGCTTTCCCATCCTCCTCCACCTGAGATGACACCTAGATAAATCCTGATAACCTGTACACTAACTCTGCTTGCTGATAGGTGTCGAGTAAAATGTAAAGGAAATTTTGATATATTCAAATGTGTGTTCCTGATAGGATTATCATTGTGCTCTTGCCTAATGTAAGAGCTTCAAAATGCCTGCGCTGCACTAAGCCAGCTCTTCATTTTAAACAAGAGATCATTGGGAACTTGGGAGGAAGCAGTTTCAGTTAAGTGATGAGGTTGGAAGCCCACTGCAGAGAGTTTAAAAGAGGGAGGAGAGAAGAAGTGGAGACCCTGATTGTAGCTGGCTTTCTCAAGGAGTGAGAGGGAGGAGCGACGTAGGACAATATCCAGCAAGGACGGACAGTGAGGATGGAGGAGAGAGGGACGTGTTTACAGACGGCAGAGAAGTAGACTGGGAGATGCGGAATATTATTAGTAAGTTTGATGGAGAGGGAGGAGTTGCTGGAGAAGATGGGATGGGATGGGATGGAATGGGATCACTTGTGCATGTAGGGGGATTTGCCTGACAAGGAGAAGGGCCACCTCTTCATGGAGACGGGGTGAAGGAGAATGCGGGGAAGATGTGTGAGATGAGAAGCGGAGAAGAGGGATCTCCGTCAGATGGCCTAGTCCTTCAGTGAAGCATGAGGCACAGTTCTCAGCTGAGAGGATGGTAAGGGGGAAGCGATGGGGAAGTTGAGGAGGGATAAAAAAAAAAGCTGGGAAGATGTGTTGTGGTAAATGGCACAGTGAAGCTATTAGGGACTGCCTGATAGGGCAGCCCTGCTGCAGGGAGGGCCCAGTATATAACGTACATTTGTAGTGTTTCTTGTCAGCGTGGTTTTGTGAATTTTCTCCAGCTGTTTTCAGAAGTTCACATGAATAATAAGTGAAGGTGCATCATGGGAATAATCCAAGGTTGAGACATGCATAGCACAATCATAGGGAAGACTGTGAACTGAGCTCTGAATTCATTGAGGAAGGGAGACTGTCCTGGGGTTCAGCAGATGACAGCTGCCAGAATTCTGACTGAATGAATCAGCGTCAAAGGCAGAGAGGTTCGGAGTCACACTGGTAAAGGGAGAGCTTGGAAGTGGCCCTGGGGAGCAGGGAGGGCTCTGGTTTTTCCCGCTGGGACCGGTGAGCTGGGGCTGTGAGTAGAAGTGTAGCCTTTGATGCAGAGCCGTTAGGAGGAAGGCGTGTCTCAGCGGGGCAGAGGGACTGGGAGAGGAGAGCAGGTTTGTTGGCTGTGGAGCAGGCCTTCCAGAAAGCACAGTGGGAGGGGTAGGTGGATCTGGAGCGCACTCGACATTGGGAGGGCAGGGTTGAGGGATGCCAGAGGAAAAGATCTGGACGGAGGGAATGGGGAACAGGATTTGGACTGTGACAGCAGGGGTTTGAAATCCCTGAGATGGGGGTAGAAGTACACTAGCCACTGAAGAATTGGTGCAGGCAGATTATCAGTGACTGAAACGCTGCCCATTGAGAAAGGGATTCAGTTGTTCAGGCCCTCCCTTGATATCCAGCTTTGTGGCAAGCAGGGTTATTGAATCCTCTGAGGCCCAGGAAGCCAAATTCACAGCATGCCAGAGCAAAGGGGAGGACAGCTTAAGAGAGTCTGGACAGGAAGCAGGATTTTGGCAGTTCAAAGTTGATATAATTTGGAAATGGCCTCTGGGGTCCTGAAGAAGGCCTTGGGATAGGCCTGCTTCTGGACCAGGACTCCCCCAGAAAATTGAGGAGCAAGGATTCAGCGGGCTAGATGCAGGGCTTCTGTGAGGGCAAAGGCAGAGGTAATCAGGGCTAGCTTCAGGGCTCCCCGGAGAGCCTCCCAGGTTGAAATAAAGGTCACAGGTTAGTGGGCTGGATCAGGCTCCTTGGGAAACCCCGGGGGCAAAGGCAGCTTTCATCTGAATTTCAGGAGTTAGAAGATGAGTTAGGAATTTGCTAGCCACAAAACAGGCTAACTGAGGTTCATATTCAGAGTTCTAATGATGACGGGTGGTGCCAGTTTATTCTCTCATAAATATCAGGCAAGAAGAGGGACTGAGATGATCTGGATGGCCATCTCAGTCAGTAAATAGCCAGTGATTGATCAGGCAGTCTGCCTGAACTCCCGTCCAGCCCCGTCCCAAGATGGCAGAACAGGGTACGCTCGGTGTAGAGCCTGGAGTCGGAGGTCCTGCTGTTGGTCTGCGTAGGATCCTTGTGTGAGGCCTGGTATGTAGGTAATCAAAGCACTGTTACCTGTGGTGGAGCAGATTAGGAATGCCTCCATGGGCTTCATCCTTGTGGCACTGAGTGACTGAAGGCTGCAGAGTGGAGAAGGACTTTCAAACCCACTTCCTGATTAGGCTAAGATAGCCACTCTCACCTGTCAAACATCAGGGAGTGGGGCCAGATGATGCAGCCTCTGGACCTCATATAGCATCTGTCTGCATGCCTTGTCTGTCCATGTCATGTATTATTTTTATATGAAAATGATCTGCACATATACTGACCCATTCTGGACTAATAAGCCTCCTGGAGGTAGGGACAGTATGTATAGGAACTTTTAATCTCCTCTAGCCTCCAACAGTGATATGCAATATATATTTAATATGTGTCAATTAAAGTAAAAATATTCCGTTTCCTAGCCTTTGAAGCGATGCCAATGAAAAAATGGATCTGACTTAAGATGGAACTAGAAGTTGGATTGTCTCCTCACTATGTCTATTCTTTCTTTAGTAATGAATTTCAGTATGAGCCCACTTGGTAGGTTGCTTGAGTCTAGTACTTAAGCTCTATAATGCAGGTCAGAGCTATCCTTGCTCAACATTCTGTATAACTCTTATCTTTGTCTATAAACCTGTTACAGAAAGCTTAGAATTCAGGGGAAAGAGATCCACACATAATACACAATGCATATGTAACAAGTACGTATAATGTATAAAATCATATATGACTTATGTATAAAATTGCATACATTATAGCTGTATAAAATCATTATTTGGTCTCTACAACTGGATTTTATAAAGGGATTTTTGATTACTAGATTTTATAAAAGAATTTTCCATTGCTGAGCTAACATAGATAGCCAAGAACAATGTAATTAACTGAAAATATGTTTATTCCTTAGGTCAGAGAAGTCTAGACTATTTTGACAATCCTGGTAAGAAATATCATTTCTTGAATTAGTAAACACTTCTATTTTTGCTGTTTGGGGAAATTTTTTAAAAACACCATACCATATAAGTATTTTACAAAAATTCATGCAAGGGAAGACTTAAAAACACTTTAAGAACAGGGAAATAGAGTCAGAGTTGAAATATTGCTACTTGGCTCATACAGCTTCTCAGGCCCAGCTTCCAGGAGCCTGGAGCAAAAACCTGCCTCCTCTTCACTGGCCAGGGACAGTGAGCCTCATCATTCAGTCGCCTGTGTGTCTGCTGGGACGGTGATTTTAGGCATCCTTCAGTACCACCAGGTTAGACTGGAAACAGCCTCCACAGTGCCTCTTCTGACACCCGCTGCCAGTGCCCATGAGCCTCCTCGTTGGGCCCTGTCATAGCTGCTCCACTCTTCCGTTGTGCACGCAGCAGTAGCTGGCCACGTTGTGGTAGAATGACTTATTTTTACTGGAAGCTTTTAAATAAAATTCAAAGGATGTTTTAAAATCAGACGCCATTAAAAAGAAGAGTCTTTTGCATGCTGTGACTCTGGCCTGTCCCTTACCCAGTCCCATATAAAACATTCAAGTATCTCAGTTATCTGAATGAAGAGGAACCACAGTGTAGGTGATCCTGAGAAGCAGGTGCTCCCCTACCTTAAGCAGATGACGAGGGGCCGGTACCTAGAGCGTGCCTGGTGGGTGTGTAGGGAGCAGGAATAACGGGGTCTCAGCCTACTGAGAACGCTGTTTCCAAAGCACTGTTGTTTTTGTTCTGGTTGGCGCACAGAAATGGCGAAAAACCAGAAAGAAACGTGTGGCTCACTACATGCGAGCCATGCTGGTAGATATTTCTATCACTAACTAGACAACTCGAGGAAAGAACACATTTTGCCTCAGTTTACTTGGCTACCAAAGACGTGACGGTATTTGTACCATTAAAAAGAAGCACGCCACCGGGTAGTTTCACTGTTCACGTGCAGACTCTCTCTGAAAGCTATACTGTACCTAACAAACTGTGCCTACGAACGTGTCAGATGAGGGCTTTTGAGAGTATCATTCTACGTGAGGAGTTTTCTGACTGGCACCCATTTCAAGATTCTTATTTTTAAGATAAATTAAATGTACGTTTCATTTGGGTAGATGTGCTAGGACCCTACTTAGCAAAGCCTGATGCGGTGCCAGCCATCTTACCAAAATACGTGTCTGTGTTTTCATCAACAGCTCCAGCTCTCATTCCATTTCCCAGCAACCGCCCGACTGTGGTGACTGTGGTGTCCGCTTCCACCTCCTTGGGCGAGGCGCCTCTTCCCCTGTTTGGGAGGCTTGTTCTTTTGATTGGTGCTTTTGTTGTAAAGCTCTTTGCTCGTCTCTGATCTGTACAGGCTCTTCATTCCTTAAAATGTGTTGTTATTGATTATTGACTATTTAAGGAAATTGAAAGGGACGTGAGTAAAATTCTTCATGTTTTCTTGCTGCTCAAACTCGATATAATCCTCTTTGTAAACAGAAGCCCACTATGTTAGTAGTAAGGGTATCTTAGAATACTTGTTAATCTTCCACTTGTAGATTTATGTATTAATCTTACAATTGTCTAAATTTGATGTTTCTGAATGAATTCAATAAAACACTAAGAAGAATAGTAGAACTGAAATTTTGGCATACTTCAGTGTTAATGCTGAATAGCTCTAGTAATGATAACTAGCTTCAGTTTAATAACTTTTTTTTTAAATAATCCACGTGCCTTTGACCAGTCTTCACTGAATGCTTATTCAGTAACACTATGTACAAGGTGCTGTGCTGGGCATTTTGGGGGACGCTGTGTATGTGACCTTCAGTTCTTTTCATTGTAAAATAAAGGGATTGGACGGTGCTTTCTCTGTGAGCCCATCAGTGCGAGCTTCTCTGTCTTCACTAGGTGCAAAGAGGTCATACTGTGCTTGCCCTCACAGAGTTTTCCAGTTGGGAAGGAAAGCTAAGACACATAGCAGTAACTACAGGCCCGGGTAGAATATTAAACTGTAAGAGACATGCGCTCCATGGGTGTTTAAAGGGGGCATGAGATAGTGCTAAGGCAGCTCAGACTGGGACCACTCCACCTGCTGACATAAATATTCTTCAAAGAATCATGGCACTGAGGCGGACTTAGCAGTCTTACAGGGCTCAGCCAGAATGCGCTTTGTAACTTTGACTTGAAAGTATACAGAACCATTTTCTTGACCTTATACTCAACAAATAAGATGATGATTTTGTCAGAATTGTTCTTCTGAATGATCTACAACTACCTAATGAGACAGACTGGCCTGGGAAGGAAGGGCAGGATCCTAAGTCGAGTTTCAACTTTGTGACAAATGACTTTAGTTAGGTTCTTGAGAAAGGGAAATGAATGTGAGCATTTTCAGCCTGCACTGGTGCTTGGGTCTTCTAAAAAACCTTATACATTTGAAATATCAGATTATATAGTTTTGAAACATTTAATTTTTTAAAAAGGAATGCAAACGAACATGATGGTTCAATTTATTTTATCTTGAAGAACTCCAAAGGTACTTGTTTCAAGTTTGTAGCACTTTTAAAAGGATGCTGTAAGCTTTTGAATTTGTGATTTCCTGTTCAGAAATTAGAACTCGTAGCCCCTTCCTCCCGCCATGATTGCCTGCTGATCCATGTCATAGCAGCAGGACACCTGAATACAAGTCCTGAACAAAAAGCCTCTTTACTGCACCTAGAACATGTTTTACAAGGGGAGCCTGGCTTAGGTGGAGGTGGCACCGTGGTTTCATGCTCATGACCATTTGTGCAGAGGAGTGGGTCCTTGGACTCTGGGAATGTGTCTACAATCTGCTCCATAAATCACTGCCTTAGTGCCCCAAGCTAGGAAAACTTACCATGCAAAAGGACAGTGAGCCCGCCTTGATGGTGAATGAATCACTCTCCCTCCACATTGTGACTGTCCCCAGACGCAGCGGTGTGCAGCAGCCGCGAGCCAGCCAATCTCATTTGGATAATTCATGGCTGGACTTCCCTTTTCCCTCCCTAGCATGGACTCTGACATAGTAGTCTGCCATCTGCATTGCCATTTGCCTTCAAATCCATGAGGTGGGAAAACTTGATCCTTTTCATTTTAAGGAAAATCCTGCTGTAAATGACCCTAATTCAAACCAGCGACAGGAAGGGGGACTTGACCTCTTAATGCAAGAGCTTGTGGGGAGGAGCATGATGGAATGGAAAAGGAACAGAGGCAAGCACTGGCCGTGGAGTTGGAGGAGGATCTGAGTGACGGCTCTGTCCTCGGGGCTCCCAGCCTGAGAGTCAGCGGAGAGAAGACAGGAGCCGGCATCACAGGCGCCTAAGGAAAGCACTCTGTAGACCTCTGGTGACGGTGAAGTGTGAACTGTCGTCACTGTGGTTCAGAGAGGGGAGGGGGCGGACCACCGAGCGCCGCTTTACTCGGAGTGACGTGGCTTCCACTACAGAAACCTTTACATTCTTCCAGCCAAAAGGATACAGTTTCAGTGTTAACAGTGAAAGATTAGTGGGGATTGGGGGCAACACCCGCCGTGCGTGACTGGTTTGGTATTGCAAACTTCAGTGTTAAAGTGCTGCTTACCTTTAATCATCTACAATTTGTGAATATGCAGGATTTTTTAAATTGTTGCTTATTTGTTTTTGCACTTCTTGAATTTACCCCTGTATGCCTCTTCCTCCTAAAGAGCCAGCCTTTATCACAAAGAATGTTGGGAATAAGGGAGGAAGAGGAAAAATTCCGCAAAGTCAGTCAATACATAGAAAAAGAACCTACCCATGTAAAGCTCCACACCCCCTCTGCAAAGGCACAGGAGAGGTCTTTTCATTTCTTCTTGGGACCAGGCTTCTTGTTTTTTTATTTCCTGTGGGCACACAATACCATGGTACCACTGGCATGGTATAGTTACATCTAGTAAGGAAACTTGGAAGAAGGCATGAAGAAAGGTTGTGGGGTGGGGGACACTGAAGGTGTCTGTAGGTCTAGTCCTCTGTTTTTATGCTGAAAGGGCTCCTCTCCTGTCTCATTGAGCAGGCAGGTATGGATGAGTGCCTCTGTCACTGTATAAGGGTCACACTTGGCAGAGGGGTGGCAATCTTCAAAGTAGCCCTTCTCCTCCTGGCCAGCCACTCTGGGAATGCAGATGCTGGTGCCTCACTCAGCCGCGCCAGCAGAGAACTCACTGATGTTGGATATCTCATGGAAACATGACGGGAAGGTGTGTCGTCCAGACCCACTTTGGGGTCACTAGCTTGACCGCCATATTGGTATCACTTAGTCTCTTGATGGCTTCATTGTACCTCAGACCATCCTCATCTCTCTCATTCATGGCCTTGGTACTGAACTTAGTGTGGCAACCAACTCCATTCCTGGTTCCCAAGGATTGGCTTGGAATCAAATGTTACCATGGAAGATGACACGGAAATCCAGGCTTTTCACAGGTGGGCTGGCATTACATCAGCATTTGTCTCCCCAGTTTTGACTCCAGCACACAGACAGGCACAGTACTGAGCTTCCACTCTGCTTCTTCACAGGGACATGGACCTTGGGGCCCAGGGAAGCCATTGGAAGGCCAACGAAATGGATAGCATGAGCTTGGTCCATGCCAAGCCAGGGTTTCTGGTTGGACACCATAGAGAGCCATTATCCTTCATAGGCACTCCTCAAAGTGCTCTCTGCAAGCTTAGAGAAAACCAGTTTGTTGGGGCCCTTTCAGATGGGGCCTCAGAACAGAGCTGCAGGAGTAAGGTACGGATGGACACTTGAGACCAGATCCTGCTGAGGCAGCTGTCAGTGCTCTCCAGCCCACAGGTGTACATGGTGGCCGGCTCTTTGCTACCTCGAGGCAGGTTATTTTTGTTCAAGTGAGAAGGAGCTGAGGTGGCTGTGTTGGAAGCTGTCCTGGGCCTGGAGGCGAGGGGGGGACAGGACGACTGTTCTGCTGGCGGGGCTGGCCGGAGGCCCTAGCGGGTGCCCGTGTAGATGGTGCCAGCAGCAGTAAATGAGAAAGCAGCGTCCACCTCCATTGTTATGGTTATGGTGCATGCTGTCCCTGCTTCACCTCACTTACCAGGCTATCCCACATCCTGCTATCAAAGCACTTTTCCTTCAGCATTGCTCTGACTGTGGCCGTCCTCTCAGCTGACTCCAGAGACTTCCCGTTGTGCCAGGACAAAATATAAATTCCTATGTAGTTTTTTAAAGCCCTGCACTGCACAAACCTACCCCACATTATTCTTCCAGCTTCACTGGACATTATTCCCCAATCTGTCCTCTGTGATCCAGCCAAACTCGCCTTCTCTGTTCTCTCACAAAACGCTTCATCTCCCTTGTTGCCTAGGCACTGATCACTCCCCACTCCTGAAGCCTTTCCTGATTCTGATTGTGGCTGGTGCCATCCCTCCCAGTCTACCCTGTACTGAATTAAACTTGTCCTCCCATTAGGACGTAAGCTCTTGATAAGTAGAGATTGTTTCCTCATTTGTTCTTGTATCCCTAGTGCCTAGCACACAGTGCACGCTGACTCAGCTGTCTGTGCTTCCCTGGAATCATGTCCACACATGACCAAGTCTGCTTAGCCATTCCCGAGTCAACTGGCATCTGCTTTGTTTCTGGCTCTTCACTATCATCGCAAGTCTTTGATGATAGGAATACTGGGGCAAATACTTTGTTGCATAGAGAACCTTTCCTTTCCTTCATCGCAAGTCTTTGATGATAGGAATACTGGGACAAATACTTTGTTGCATAGAGAACCTTTCCTTTCCTTCATAGCAAGTCTTTGATGATAGGAATACTGGGGCAAATACTTTGTTGCATAGAGAACCTTTCCTTCAGAGATCTTTGGGTACATTCACCTAGCAGGGGAATCTCTGGGCCAAACAACACTGGTCTTCTGTAGCCAATTTGCATGATCTCAGATTGCTTCCCAGAACTGTGGTGTCGATTCACAGCTCTGCCAACGTGCACTAGGGCATCTCCTTCTATGTTAACAATTATTTCATCTTTTGTCATCTCTAGGAAACCTCAAAGATGTTTTTTGATTTACATTTCCCATAGCAATGATTTGGGGCATTCTTTCATAAGGCTAATGATTTTTAATTCTACTGAACTGATTATTGATATCCTTTGACCATTTCTCTGGCAGGAGATGGCTTTTGTTCTTAAATATTTCTAGATAGCCATTATCAGAGACATTTGATACAAACAACTTTTTCCTTATTGGACTGCTTCTCTTACTCCAGATGCATTAATATTGTGCGAAAGTTTTTCAACTTCATATAATCTAAGTTGTTTTATCTTTTGAAATTGCCTCTGTCCCTTGGTAAAGAATTTTCATCTCCTGCCCAAACCTACAAAAGGCATGTGAATTGCTGCTCACTTTTTTACGGTATGACCTTTAATATTTAGGTCATGTATCCATTTTGAATTTATTATGGCCCAAGCTTTTAACAGCATCCTCCATATCCGGCTTGGTTTTGCCAGCTTCAACATTAAGAAAGAAAAGTACCCAAAATACTGCTTCCTTTTGTGATCTTAGAAAATTTGGACTTAGGGGCAGCTAGGTGGTACAGTGGAGAGAACACTGGCCCTGTAGTCAGTTCAAATCTGGTGTTAGACCAAACACTTGACACTTACTAGCTGTGTGACCCTGGGCAAGTTACTTAAACCAATTGCTTAAAAAAAAAATTGGGGCTTAAACAAAAATTAAAGCCATGTACACAAATAAATAATAATGATACAAGATCAAACAATTTTTGTAGGATATAAATGTTCACATATCAGTTATCCAAATAAACAAATACCAGACAGTATTATCACAAAGCAAGAATTTATTTATAAGACATTTCCATCTTTTACAGAAATTAAAAGGAAAAAAAAAAGACAAGGTTGTCAAATAGACAAGTACTTCATGTTAATTAATTCCTAAGGGCTTGGGCTCATTTTGTAAATAAGTAAAACCATATAAAAATAGCTTTCAAACCCTTGTAGTCCCCAGAAGAAAACACCAATGACCAAGGAACTCTTCAGATTTTTCTTCACTATTTCCAAAGATGGCATACACAAACAGAAAAACTGACATACATTTACTCTACAACATACGGATTTGCAACAGCCTGGTTATCCTTCAGTTATTTATTTTGTATTGCAAAATCACTTGTTTTCATATTTTTATTGGCTGTGAAAAAGCATAGTAAAGGCTCAATGGAGATTAATCTTTAAACACTTGATTTTTCAACAACGTTGTAAAAATGTACAATAGTACACATCTTATTGGTAATTAGAACCTTTCTTCATTTTAAAGTAAACAGTTTTTAGGTATAAACCTTTCAAAGGTCAAATCTGAAAAGCTGTGAGATAGCTATCCTGTTTCAAAATTTATAAACAATAATTAGTCAATAACTTTCTCAGAAACCAAGCGACGGTAGGGTTCTTTTATACAGTCAGTTCCAGTCTTTGGGGAGACCTGAAACAGCGACAGATTCACACACCCCACAGACAGAAGGCTGTGCAGTGTCAACTGAAGACGCCTCCTCTGATGTGGATGTTCTCATTCAACCCGTGTTCTATCAACTTTATGTCCTCCAGATCATCTTTGATGATGCTAATCAAGTGGCTGAGGCCTTCCTGTTGCTGTTTCAAATGCTAGAATGGTTGAAGAAGAGAGAAGAAATTTGTGTTAGAAAAGGCACCTGGATTATGTGTCTAGACGAATGATTTCATCACATTCATCTCCTATAGTATGGGAAATATTAGACCAACACACATCAGGCAGCTGGCCTACGTTTGAGGCTGTGACTGGCCCACGGCTACACCGTCAACAGCATATGTCAGGGGTCAAACTAAAACTCAGGTCTTATGGCCTCTCATCACGCCACTAAGTGATGATAAACAGATGCGGCCTCTGTCCTCAACACTGTTTCCTTTGCTTGCAGCATTCACAGCCTTCTGTGGCAGACAGACCAACTAGAAACGCTGACCAATAAAAGACTGCTGATACTGTAGGTTTTCTGCAGCCGCCTGCTGTAATGAAGCTACGGGTGTGAACCATCCAAAAAAGCGACAGCACCACAGTGCCTACCTAACTGCTACAGCTGGTCACCCTGTATTCTACTGTGAACATTGAGTCTGGCAGCCCCCGAAGAACAGAGATCACCAGGCCTGACGGCCAGATGGCAAGACCTTCTTGTCGGCCACTTAACAAAATGTTATCTGACAACTGTTTTATGACCATCTTCAAACATATGGATCACTGGGGTCAAACTCAAAAAGAAATGGATCCCACAGGCTGCACACTGACTTACAAAACCACAAACTAACATCATTCACGTTGTATCGCATCTTCATCTTTTGTTAAAACATCTCCCAATTACATTTAATCTGGCTCAGGCTGAGTGGGGAGCACGTGGCCCACAAGTTTGATACCTCTGACCTGGATGACCTAAAATTCAGGTTTCCAACAAAGAATATTTATTAGATAAGGGTTTTTGTTGTTATTGTTGAGTCATTTTTCAGTTGTTCCCAACTCTTTATTTGGAGTTTTCATGGCAAAGATATTGGACTGGTTTGCCATTTCCTTCTCCAGCTCATTTTACAGATGAAGAAACTGAAACAAACAGGGGTAAATGACTTGTGCAGAGTCACACAACTAGGAAGTGTCTAAGGGAGGATCTGAAGTCAGGTCTTTCTGCCTCCAGGACTGGCACTCTTATCTACCGTGCCACCTAGCTGCCCTGTAAGTTTATTTACCCTTCCCTATAGGTTTTTTTTTTGGGGGGGGCGGCAACTGGGGTTAAGTGACTTCGAGTCACACAGTTAGTGAGTGTTATGTGTCTGAGGCCAGATTTGATCTCAGGTCCTCCTGACTCCAGGGCCAGTGCTCCATCCACTGCCCCACTTAGCTGCCCCTCTGTATGGATTTTTAGAATATGCTTTCAAAACAATAGTGGAGGGGAAAAAAGGGAAGTAAGACAATGTCTCCTGTCTTGATGGGAATAGCAGCAGAACTCAGACCCTCACATTATCAAGTCTTCTTCCATCCATGTAAAGTACAACATTTACCTGCTTGATTTCACGTAGAAGATCTGCATCTACATAATACCGCTCTTCAGATTTCACAGCTCCAAAGTGATTCTGCATCCTGATTTGGGACATCAACTCATTCAGTCGACCCTAAGAATAGAAAGGCACAAAATACCATGTCTGTACGTGATCTGGCCCACACAACATTCATTGGTAATGCTGGGGGCAAGTATCAGTTGTCCTCCTCAAAGGAGGTACCTTTTAAAGGAAATGAAAATATCTCTAGCTACTGAAAAGCACCACTGACTTAGGGTCACAGTGAAGTTGTGAATAGTCTAACTTCTGGAGTCTGTGTTTATTTCCACCGTGGAAGTTCTCGAGAAGCAGCCTCTCTGTCTGCCAGAGATGAGAGCGTGGACCCGGCCCTCCCTCTGAAGCTTCCTTCCACGTGAGCTTTTCTTGGACGGGCTTGCCTGGGTCCTGGTCCCGTGCGAGTGCCCGCGCCTCCGCCATGCACAGTCGGGCCTCCTTACCTTGAACTGCGTAGGCGCGTTTAGTTCACACTGAATGGTATCAAGCTGGACTCGCAGCTGCTCCTCATCAGCCTGGATGGCGTAGCCACTCTTCCTCTGGATTTCCTGCTTAATCAAAACCTGCAACAGGAGGGGCACGTGACTAGCAAGAAGGCCTCTGTCCACTTCCGTTATGTCCCAGAGAATGTTACTTCTGTGCTAAACCGAAGCAGCTTTTACTTTGGTTTTTTCCCTTTATTACGAGAAAAATCCACTGGGACGTGAGGGGGTGGGGGGGACAGCGTATCTGAAAACCACTGGCGTCAATAAAACGTGGAAAACAAAAAAAAAAGCAGCTTTCATGTCAGACTATCGCAAATCCAAATTAGCTTCGCTTAATAAAAATCTGAATTGCCCGTAACAATGATGTTTGGAAAAGCTGTCGGAGTTGAATAAGTTACTGTCTTACTCAGCTTAGGTACACAGATGTCCAGCTGGTTTAGGTCAGTGGTTTGTCCAGCCTAGCGTTAATTCTTCGCCGGGGGCACTCAAGCTCTTCATGCTTCACTTTAGATTTACTGGGACTTGGTCTAATTCACAGAATCCCAGATTTAAGGCCAGAAGGGACTGGACAGGCTGCCGTATGGACAAGCCTCCCATTCTGCTGCTGAGGAACCTCAGAGCCCAGAGAGGGGAACTGATTTTCCCAAGGTCCCAATCAGTGGCAGAGGCAGCATGGGCAGCCAGCTTCGCTGTGACAACAGCAGCAGTAGCTCACACTTCCAGAGAGCACCATGGACTTTGCAGAGCACTGGACATCCATTATCTGATCTGATCTTTATAACAATCCTGGGAGGTAGCTATTATGGTCTCTATTTTATAGCGGAAGAAACTGAGTCTAAAGGAAGTTAAAGTGACTTACCTGCTCAAGGTCACACAACTATTGAATGTTGAAGGCTGAATTTGAACCCTGCTCTTCATGATTCCGAGTCTAGCACCCTAATCACTTCCTCACACCACTGCTAACGTGACTGTGTATATGTACATATTTTATCTCTCAGGCTGATAAATATGTGCGTTGCATATAATGAAAATCTACAGATATTCATTTAAAATAGCTACCTAAAGCGTGAAGTAGGAATTTTAATTTGTCTTAAAACTTCCTTCACGTTTTAAGGGGTGATCCCAAAATCCTAGAATTTAGTTATTCTTTTTTGAAGTCCACATTAATCTTTATTGCTTTACAGCTACAAGAAGCGGAGTTGAGATCACAGTCCTGCTTATTGCCTGGGTGACGGCTGACCTTCACCAATCGGGCCTCGGGCAGGCGTTAGACAAGAAGACCTTGAGTCTCTGATAATCGTGACTCCCGTGCTCCCACGAGCCAGGAGAGCAACAATAATAATGGCGGCCAACATTCAGACGGCCCTCACTAAGTGCCACCAGCAGGACCAAGAATGTCCTTTGCCAGGGGCTGAGTTTCTAAGACAAAAGCAAAGGAGAAACAAACAAGTAAGAGGAAGAGAAAAACCAAAAGGATTAGGAAAGTTAACAAGAGGAAAAGAAAGAAGTGAGCAGAGCTTGAGCAGCGGCCGCCACCACCGTCTCCTGCTGGTGACGGACGTCTGGGCCACAGACGAGCGCGTCCCTTCCTCTGGCCAAGCTTTGGGCTTTCCCCTTTCTATAAACTAAAAGACACCAAATGTCACGGGAAGGGTAGAGACAAGCCTTTCCCACACGTCTAGTTGGAATGGGCCTTTCCCGTTTTTTTAAAGAAAATGGATCCCTACAAGAAAAGGACACTGGAATCGCCTTTTAATCAGATAACTGGATAGAAGCCCTGAAAGTGACTCCTTCTTGTTCTGTTACCTGCAAGGTCCTATGGGAAAGCTCCATGAGTTTCCTCTTGTACTGCGCAATTTTAGCCAAAGTGGTAGTCTGATTCTTTTGTAACTCACTGATATCTTCAGATATAATCTATGAACAAAAAAAAAGTACAATGATCACAATGGTACTTTGATTCACTTTTCAATTGTCAAAACCCCAGTCGTGCTGGACACCACAATTTATTAGATATTAAAGTGCAACAAGTCTAGCAAGTGAGATAGCTGAGGTTCAGCTGGCCCCTGATCACTGGAAATAGGGGTGCATTAAACTGGTGAGGAAGGCTTGCTCACATTTACAGAGCCACACCACGGTCTCACTCTAACAACAAAGAACAATCCACAGCACAGTGAAGAGCGTGCACTGCCTTCCCTTCCCGTGGCGGTGGGAGGGCGACTGTATAAACAGTATCCCAACGACGCATCTGTTGGTTGGATTTGCAGAACTTTTTTTTCACCTTTTTTAAAATCTTTGTTAGGAAACCCAGAATCACATCAAATTAGAAACTCCGGAATTGCCTTTTAAGTGACCGTGGTAGAGACAGACCAGAAGCAGTCGTCCTTCCCACCAGAGGCCCGTGGCAGGCCCACTGAACTCCACGCTAACAAGCAACAACCTTGGGAGCTTCAGAGAGGGCGAGATGACCTTGCAGCCTCTCAGCGGGGCAAAGAGGCAGATTCACGACCCACGTGAATCCATGGACAGGAACAGCTGTCTTCAACAAGCCCTTGAATATACTGTGAGCACAGCCATGAACTGGGACCATCATTCTGGAAAACGTGATTTAAAAAAGTGATTAGAATTTGATCCCAGAGGTCAAAGTGAGGGGAAAAAGTCCCATACAGACCAAAATGTTTACACAAGTATTTCTGGCGGTAGCCACAAACTAAGTGCCCTCTGATTGGGACTACACAGATGTTACTGCACAAGTAAGGAGCAGAGAGGAAGAAGTCAGAGAGACACAGGAAGATGAGCCTGAGCGACCGTAATCCAAGGAGGCAAAAGCAGAAAACAACACACACAACAACCATGGAAATGGAAAGAACACCCTGCTTGTCATTCTAGGGGCTGAGTTTGGCCCATGGACATGTCATTGACGAGGCAGGAACCTCAGGGGTAGAATCCTGCAGGTGCGATTGCCTGGGTGAACTTTTTTTGTTTTGTCCTCGTTACAAGGAAAAGCTCACTGGGCAGAGGAGGAAGAAGAGACCCATTTGGAAATGAATGTGATGTGAAAATTTTTTAAAACATCAATTAAAAAGGCATAGTTGTAATCAAATATGAGAAGGGCTAATTCTCTTATTGTTTCAAGATGCACAGAAGCTACAGAGAGGCAGGTACTGGCTCACTATAAAGACCTCCAACAACACAGGCTCCTCTGTGAAGTGAAGACGTCCCCATTACATTCGGAGCCCACACTAGGTGACTGTGTGTCAGCTGCTAGAGAGAGGGCTCCTTTACTCCATGGGATGTTGGATTAGACGAGCCTCTAAGATCTGTTTCATCTCCAGGTCTCTGTAATTCTATCAAATGAGGGAACTAAAGTGTTCCGAAGCAGATTTAAACATTCAAAACATTGTTTAAATTTTCCTTGTTCTTCATTAATTCTGTCACAAGCAACAGTCATTACAACACTACGGGAAGTACAAAGCAACCATTTTAATAGGCTGGAGTTTCACGATAAAGTGTGCATTATCTTCCTGGAATCAGAAGTGACCGACTAATTGAGCTGCTTCCATTGTTACAACAGCTGGCATTTGTAGGATCATCACATATCCAGCTGTTTTATCGTTCAAAGCATTTCCATGCTAGTCAAAGGAATATCAATTCTAAACTCATAAAATAATGGGATAATTTCGTGTTCCCACAACACCTGTGTGCTACAAAGGACGCAACAGTGAAAAGCTACAATTACTCCTTGATAAACACAGGGTATATTACCTCCCTAAGACTTTCGGCCTCACCGAGACAAGGTAGGGCGCCTACGACGACAGGAATCCCGTTTCTCTACGACTTTGTGGTACCCCTCCCAGTCCCAGGGGATGAAAACCTAAGTGCTTACATCTAATCTGGTCTGATGCTGCTTTGTCATCTGATCCTGGACCTTCAGTCTTCGGAGGAGTTCTTTGAAACCCACCATCGGCACAGGAATTAGCCTACAGAAACAAGGCATTTAATTTCCACACAGACACTTATAAATGACCAACAACGTAGAGGTCTTTGCTAGATAACATGATATTTATCGTCACAATCTCATGGCTAATAAACTTGCTGATTTCACTTGCAGCTTCGAAGGGTGCTGATTGGGACCTGTGATTTCAATGCTCTGAGGAACCTCTGGCAAGGAAAATCCCTTTACCAACCCAGATCCACAATGTTTCGCCTCACACAGCAAAGTTCCCTGGGTCGCTGAGTATGCATACTGTCATATGCCCAAGCATGCATACTATCGTGTCGGAGACAGGACTTGAACCCATGTCTTCCAGACCCAAAGGCCAACTCTGGCCATTACACCATGCTGATTTTATTAGAACAAAAGAATTTCAGAGAGGTCAGGGACCTTGGTCCAACTCCATTTTACTTACCCCCAGGTCACACCATTAGTCAGCAGCAGCTCTGGGATTGGAGCCTAGATTTCCTAACTCCCAAGTCTGATACTCTTCCCCCTATACCAGATTGCCTCCTGAGCTCCAAAAGTCAAACATTCACGAGAATAAATTTTACCAACCCCACTGAAAATAAATTCTACTCGTCATAGTAGTAAGCACTATTAATACCATCTAATTAATTACTACAGCAAGAAAGACTTACTTTTCAGAATCAGGGTTATCCACTTTGGCCTGTTCCCAGATAATTGGATCAACACCTACCATAGAATTAAAAAAGATACTTTTATTATATTTATGTATATTAATTATATTTATTATGGTTTTCAATATTTTCAGAAATCTTTCTGAATATATTACTTGACAAGCATATTAAAGAAAGAATAAGCCTACAGTGATGCATTTTTTTTTAAAAAAGACCATAATGGGAAAATAAAGAGAAAACTGATTGTAAAAAGCATTTTTATTTCTGTGTCATAAAGGATTACTAGGAAGCTCTATTAAAACTCATTATTTCACCACAAAATTCACAACACAACATGACGCATAAAAATGCAAAACAGCAGAAGAGTCTGACTGTGTGTCGGAGTTCTAAGTTTGGGGGTAAAATATTAGCAACCAGAGTTTCAGAGAATAAACTTACGGAAAACACAAAAGGTAGGCAAGCAACCGATGAGACAATCTGAAACTATAAATAGGCAAGGTAGGAAGGAAGGGGCACACAAGATGTGAGGGAGCACAAAAAAAGGCTCAACCGAATATTTCATTATTCAGTTGGTAAATAGTATTTTACTTTTTTCCAATTACATATCAATGGAGCTTTTAACATTCATTTTTTATAAGATTTTGAGTTCCACATTTTTCTCCCTCCATCCCCACCACTCCCCAAGATAGTGGGCAATCTAATTTAGGCTATACAAGCAAACACACATTTTTAATGCTGAAAATTCTCCTCTCCGTGGCACATAGACCTTAGCACAGACACATACTCTGTCTTAGAGTACAGTGAGCCTCAAAAGGATGGGACCCTCACCACGGGCACGTAGATGCCTTGGCCTGGCTTGGCTTACTGTGTTCTCTATAGAACTGGCCTCCCCAGGGTCGGAAGGGACTTTCAGAGGTCCTCTCGTCCAGCCTTTTAACTGAAGCACAAAGTCCCTGACAAGTAAATCCTTCATCTCGGCATTAAATACCTTCAGAGTTTGATAATGTAATCCCTCTGCAATAAGCCTGTTGATTTTTGTGGATAGCTCTAATTATTTTCTTATTTTAAGTGAAAATTCATCATCTGTAGTTTCTAAACATTGGTCCCATTTTTATCCTCTGGGGCCAAGCAGAATAACTCTAATCTTTCTTCCATGTAACAACATCCAAATATTTGAAGATCTCAAGATGAACAGAAATAATCCTGTTCAGCAACCGTCTGATAATAAACATCAGGTAAGGGATAAACGTCAGGAGGCAGCTAGATGGCTCAGTGGATAGAGAGCTGGGCCTGCAGTCAGGAAGACGCGAGTTCAAACATGGCCTCAGACACTTCCTAGCTGTGTGACCCTGAGCAAGTCACTTCACCCTGTTTGCCTCAGTTTCCTAATCTGCAAAGTAAGTTAGAAAGAAATGGCAAACCCCTCCAGTAACTTCGCCAAGAAAACCCCAAATGGGGTCACCAAGAGTCAGACACAACTGACAAAAAGGAGTAGGATGAGGAGATGTATGCCGCCAGCATAATTCACACACGGGGATGGACAAGATCCAGCAGAGCTCAAGCTGAAAAAGGATTCCCTGTGGATCATGAGGTCCTCCACATGCTCCACTTTTCTGATGTTGCACTGACTGCAGAAAGCTCCAGATCACTGCAGAGCCCTCTCGGTATGACTTTTAATCACTCAAAGGAATTTGGCCTAACCAATCAAACAAGAAAGACCAAGTGTATGAAGAACATCTACTGTCCAGATTTCAGTATGCATTTGGATGGACGCCCTATAGAGCGTATGTACGTGTATGTATGCACACACACGATATATAAATTCTCTGCAGATATACAGACACACATCTGAGACAAAGAAGACGAATGGTCTAGCCTAGAAAGGAAGCAAGCAAGATGGGCTGCCTTCAGGAAACGGTAAAGCTCCTTTATTTGACCTCAAGCTTCCTATGAAAGTACAAGCTTTACAATATTAATAGTTTGCTGGTATTGCTTTTTAGCAGTAAGGCATGAAACACAAATGTCTCCAAAGAATTAAAAATGACTTATCACAGAGGGCAACGGAAAGGCACAGGGTGGTGTGGGTGTGAGCAAGGTGCACCATATAATCCAAAGAAGAAGTGCATGAGTCATAATGGAAACTTCGAGATGGGCTGGTCATGTGGACAGAAGGATGGATGACAGGTGTCCACCCAAAGTGCTCCACTGGTGCCTCAAATGTGAGGAGAAAGCAAGGAAAGCCTCCAGCCATTGGATGGATCCCTCTGGGAGGACAGGGACTAGACCCACACAAGATCGACAGGTACGGATGGGCAGTGATGGGCAACATGGAGGCAATCCTGAACTGATGCAAACATGCCTCTATTCAAGGATCAAGAGACCTCCTCACCCTCTTTTCCCTACGTCCTCTCACAAGGAGAAATGTTTCAAATTCCTTAAACCAAACATGGCAAACTTCCTTCTCAGAGCTGGCTGCCCTCCCCTAGACATGCTTTGGTCTACTGATGTCAACAAAAAGATAATATTCTTTTCACTCCACGAATGAAAGGAAGACCCTGGAGGACACAAAAGAGAATGGTGGTTTAGCCTAGGCAAGAGGTAGGAGGAAAGGATGGGTGAGGAAAGGCAAACCCAAGCTCTGGATATCACCCCCTTCCAGTCTCTAGAACCCTGCTCCATTCTCATCCCGTCACGTCATCAATCTTGCCTCATCACTGGCTCAGATTCTTCCTACGAAGATGTTTCGGTATCCCCAATTCTAAAATAAATTTTGCTTGACCATGCCATGCCCTCTGGTTACCATACCAGCGCTCCTTACTGTCTCTTCATACTTCCAGAAAGAGTAGTTTACAACTGCTTCCTTCACATTCTCTCCACCCTCAACCCTTTGTAATTCCCATCATTTTAACTAAGCAGTTATTTCAAAGTAACCAATGATCACCACATTCATGTTTTTTCTATACTCATCCCCTCTAACCTCTTCCCAACATTTGACCCAGCTGATCATCAAGTCCTCAACATTCCCTATGGCTTCAGTGTGTCTTCATCATCCTTTCTCCCCTTCCTCATTCCTATTTCTGTTAATGGCATCCTTCTTTTCCCAGTCGTGTGGGATTGAAACCTTGGAGTCATTTATATGACTACTTATTAATGATACATTAATTGTACTGTGCTTTATACCCATCTCTACCTTTCTCTCTCCCACAGCCGCCCATCCTCGGTCCTTACAGCCTGAACTATCTGCAAGAGCCTCACGACCCCTTTCTTCCTTTATGCACACACCACTGCCAGAATCATTTTTCTATCACACGACTACAGACATATCACTGTGATGTTCAAAAGACCTTCAATGGCCTCCAGCTGCCTACTGAATAACATCCAAGCCTTAGGTTGGATTTTAAGAGCCTCTATAATTACCTGGGTCCAACCTACCTTTTCAGACTTACATCACGTTACTTCCATTAATTCACCCAGTGGCTCGGCCAAAAAGGCTTTACTCAGATACCGTGACGCCCTTGCCTCCATGACAGCCCTCACAATGTGTCACACATCTCAAACATGTCAGCCCTTTCTCAAACTGCCAGCTAAACTGGAATGCCATGTCCTCCGTGATATCTTCCATGATTTTTCCCAGCAAGAAGTGATCTTTCAACTCGTTTTGACTTTTCTTAATAATTTCCTGTGTACTTTTATCTTTTATTTTTATGTTTATTTGCAAACATATCTTATCTCCTTGTTCCCCCATGCTTCCCCAAGACTAAGTCCTTAAGGTCAAGTACTGTGTCTTATTCACTTTTATAGCCACATGAAGACTTAACACAAAGCTTGTTAATACACAGTAGGCACTTCTACTTCTGTGACTGTTTTTTAAAAGAATGTTTCAATTAGCTGTAATGGATGTGTATGGTAGAAAATGCTCATTTCTATTGCTTTTAATTTTTATGATAAATTTTAATAACACTAAATACTACAAACTGCTTAGTTAATGGTTATTAACTAGTTAATAATATTGTCAGTTTTGTGTAACCTGAGACAGCCAAATAAATGTCAACCCTTTAAATTTCTTGATCAAACTCAGAAACATTAAAAACTGTAATGGAAAAATAGTTTCAATTTTTTAACATCCCCCAAATACCTTCTACTGAGACAAAAACGTCACAGGTGATCTTCAGCATTTCTGCAGAAAACTCTGCACAGATGCTCTTGTTTAGGCCATAATGTGATCAAACCTTAACCCTGCAGTACGTACCAGCAGGAGGATTCTGTAAAAGCTGCTTGATCTGGGCAGGGGAAAGCTCTGTTCTAGTCATAGAAAGGGTAACTCCAAGTTGCTGTAATGAAGTTTTTATATTCGCTTGTTCAAAATGGGCATACAGTGTCGTAGATGGAACTCGGCGTGATGTGCCATTTGGAGAACGTTCAACAACATATATGACAACTTCTGTCCTGAAAAAGAATTTCAGATAAGATGATATCAAGCTTGTATTTTCCAGCAAGAGATATAAATGCAAATATCTAATTTTAGAAAAGGATACGTATGTAATTAGTATCAGAAATGACGGCTACAGTACAGAACATCAGGCTTTTTTCAAACCTTAAATAAGAAAACTTTAACTTTCCTTTGTGCTATCAAAATGATTTAAAGTTACTTTTAAAATTTTACAAACGGTATGAAAAGTCCTTTATTTATAAAAGTTCTACTTTTAACAGTGTGACAGTCAATCAATAATTATTAAGCACCTACTAGATCCCAGAAGTGGGAGAGATAACAAATATAAAAAATGAATCAATCTCTACTCAACAAACTTCTATTCTAATGGAGGTGACAAGTACATCTAAGTATAGAATAAATATGAATAAAGTTAATTAAAAGAAAGGCTTCATGTAAAAGGTGATGTTTAAGTTGAATCTTAGATGAGGAGAGGTGAGGAGGCATGAGGGATGGCCAGTGTAAAACCATGAGATGGGAGGGGGAACGCAGTGGAAGAGGAACAAAGAAACAGCCAATCTGCATGGATGAACCAGGTAATTTACACAGCTAACTACTAAAAACCAATCCCAATGAAGTCATTCTCACCTGCCTCAGCTAAACCTAATGCTCCATCCCTTCTGTGACCCTTCATACCCTTACCAGACTCATCTTCCTTCTGTCCACAAATCTGATCCCATTTTGCTCTTTAATGATGATCAAATAAAATTGAAGCTTCTTTGCCTGGCATCCAAGGCCCTTCCCAAAGCGCCATGCGCCACCATACCACCTCTCAGTCTGACCTCATCTTACTCCTCTGCACATAGTCCAGGCTCTAGGCAAACAGGCTTTCTTTCCTTTCCTTCCCTCTTCTCCCCCCATTTTCCTACCCGTCCTTTAAAATGCAAATCCAATGGTCTCTCCCTCCTGGAAACCTTTCACAATCCGCCAGCAAAAACGACATTCTCAGCCTCATGGAGCAACTGGTTTGGTGCTTCTAATGTACTTATTGAACAGTCAGATTAACTGGGTATGTCTCTGGTGTCCTTCCAAGATCCACGGGGTGCTGTAAACTTCATTCCGCCCCTAGCACCTTGGACAGTTCTTGGTAACCAGGAGCCACTTCTCTCCAGTGGCTGAACTGAGATGAAGTCAATTTAACAAAACTTTTTACCCAACCATTTAAGCTTATTATCTTCTTGGGAACAATTATTCATAAAAAAAATCTTAGAATTAATTTCTCATTAGAAACTAGACCGAGGGGCAGCTAGGTGGCGCAGTGATTCAGGAGGACCTGAGTTCAAATTCAGCCTCAGACACATAACACTTACTAGCTGTGTGACCCTGGGCAAGTCACTTAACCCCACTGCCTAGCCCCTCCCCGCCCCCAAAAAGAAAGAAACTAGACCACAAGAGAGTGCCCGTTTAGGATCAGGCCAACCTGGGCTCAACTCTGCCAACACTTATCCTAACTAAATGAGCCAGTTCAGTTTTATTATCTACACAATGAAGATGCCAATACTGATAGTTCTTACTTCATAGAGTTGTGGTAAGGCTCAAACGAGATTTTAGTAAACTTTAAAGCATTAACATCAGTTATTACTTATTATTATGATTGCATACCCAAGCAGTTCACAATTCCACCTCCTAAAACTTTACGAAATGTTTGTAACACTTAATGTACACAATAGCATGCTGAATGTTTTCTCCTCTAAGTGGATAATGCAATTAAGATCATCAGTTTTAAGTAAAGAAATTCAGAACCAAGAGAAAAATAAACAGAAGCATCCCATAAGCAGCAAATAAATGCTGAAACAAAGACAAAATATTCTGTGATTTTAAATGTGTTTCAGGAAAGGAACAATGTATGAGGTATGGGAACAACACGTATGAAACAGAATGAAGATGCTACATTATCACCAAGTATTTCTGAACCATGAGACAGACATACAAAACCCTGAGTGTATACGTACTGGTCATCTGGCAACGTTTTCACACCTTCCACATTGACAGTAAGGGTCTGGTTTCCTCCCAAAATTTTATGGAATGATTCTATTAGTTGCTGTTGCTGGCTTCGGATGTCTGCTTCCTTCCTATTGAAAATTAAAACCACCAGGCCATCTTCATCCTTATTGTTGGGCATGCAGCTGTAACCCACCGCCTGTGGAAAGACAGCACAGAAAACTATGATACAGAAAGATAAACCACAGATACCAAGCCAGTCACTTAAATGCTCCAGGATACTCATTTCTCCATTTTATGAGAATAAATGAGAACAGAATTTAAAAAAAATAAACGTCAGTGGTTTTGATGTAAACATATAAGATCTTTAGCTTAATTTTTCAAATTATGAATTGCCTATAAATGTTTATTCCCTTCCCTTCCCCTTAAAACCACCTCAAATATTTCCAGAACACTTTTTCTCTAAATCTTTCCTCTGTCTTCATAACAACCTACCTTGTATTATGCTCCTCTGTACACATACCACACCATCCCTGGCAGGAAGAAGCAGCATTTATTAAGCACCTACTACGTTCCAGGAACTGTACCAAGTTCTTCACAAAGATTATCTCATCTCAGATGTCACAACCATGTGGCTGACAGGGAGGGACCCTCCCCATATTTCTTTTTTCTTTTTGGTGAGGCAGTCAGGATTGACTGACTTGCCCAGGGTCACACAGCTAGTGAGTGTCAAGTGCCCGGTCTGAGGCCAGACTTGAACTCGGGGCCTCCTGAATCCAGAGCCTGTGGCTCTATCCACTGCGCCACCTAGCTGCCCCTCCTCCCCACATTTTCTAGAGCACCTCTTGGGTCAGTACTGTGTCCACAGCGTAAATCCATCTCTAGTTCTACTGCAACCGGGACCGTGTGGTGTTGTTGTTCAGTCCTTTCAGTCACATCCAACTCTTCATGACCCCACTTGGGGTTTTCTTGGCCCATGGTACTGGAGGGGTTTGCCATTTCCTTCTCCAGCTCATTTTACAGATGAGGAAACAGGGTGAAGTGACTTGTCCAGGGTCCCACAGCTCGTGTCTCAAGCAAGATTTGAACTCTTCCTGACTCCAGGGCCAGGGCTCTATCCACTGAGTCACCTAGCTGCTCTTAGACTATGAGCTTCTTCATGGTAAGGTCTGTATGGCTTTACACCACCGTATGTGCCTGTAAATGACACAGGCTGAGCCACACTGTGAAGCTTGCATGGCAATGCTCTGAGCTGGAGAATCCAGCTCTCCGTTCAATGTGAGGGGCCTTTCTTGCCAGGACCCCCAAGGGGGGACGAGGCACAAGCTGCTGGCCTACAGCCAGAGCGCTGTCGTACTATAAAGATCACCGACCAAATGAAGCTAGTGTCAGCGTGTAGCGCTGCCCTCTCTGCTGGCACAGCCCAGGCTATCTGAAGAAAGGTTGGCCTGGTGATCTTTCCAGGCACAGCCCTGTGTATGGAGCCCTAAGGAGCCAAGCAGCTCTGTGCCATGGCAGCAAACTTTCAAAAGTCTGGCAAAGTCAATTAATTATAATACTGACAGTGTCCACTTTAAACCAGCGACTCTTCTGTTAGGATAACAGATACACAGGCCAGGTGTTTTTAGCAAAATGTTCGAAATATTCTACATGCTTATTCTATTATACAATATTCAGATCCCTAAATAAAAGGCATTCGATTTCACTTTCACACACTGAAATGCAACATTTTAGTCTTCAGAGAAAGAAGTAGTTGCTCTAAACCAGGCCTGCACCACCTGCAGCCGCCAGAGGATTTCCTCCATGTTTTTCTCGGGCTACCCGAAATCCTCTGGCATGCCTGGCGTGCCACAGATGGCGCGGGACCGCTCTAAACAGCACAATAAACTCATCTCCTATTTGTTGCTGAAAAGATCAGCCTCATACCTTAAATCTGCAGAAGGGATTTTCCTGGGTGAACTCCACAGGTGGAATGTTATTGTTGAAGTAGCCTTTGCCCGTTCCCCAGAAGGCCTGGAGCTGATTCCATTTTGCCAAAATAGCATCTCTCTCGTCTCCCAGTAGTGTTGGGGCAGAAAGAGCGCTTGCTGTATTGATCAGCTGGTTAGACTGGACAGGGGGTTGGGTGGGCTGACTGAAGAGACCACCTAAAGCTGAGGAAGAGATGGAGAGGTTACTCTGGCCTGTATCAAGGGACACACAGAACAAAAGGTTCTAATAGCATTTGCTCTTTAACAACTATATTATCATCCATTAACAAGCTCAGCTGAATAAATACTTTTAATAATTCCAGATGGATAGAGTGCTGGACTGGGAATCTGGAAGCTCTGGATTCAAATCCTGCCTCCAATATGTATTAGTTATATGACTAAGTCCCTTAACTTTGCTGAGCCTTGGTTTTGTGGCCTGTAAAGACTCTGATAATAGCATGTATGTAAGGCACTTTTTAAACTGCAGACAGCTGGACAAATGTCTGCCATCACTCTTGTTTTGAAGGGCTCCAGGACCAAATTCCCATTGGTTCCAATACTGAGAAGTCAGGAAATGGATCACACCAACCCTCAGATAACAGATGATGAGATCCAGTTCTGAAAGCTTTGCTGCTAATCGGCATTATTCCATTCTGGCATTTTAGGGGCTTCTGTCTTGCTGCCCTCAAATTTATTTTACAATATGTAAGATTCCAGAAGTTAACAAAGGTCATAGTAACTTATCAGCATATGTACAGCAAGACGCAGACTACAGTCTCTTCTAGAGTTGATTCTCCCATAGGAAATGAAAGACTGAGCCATGGCCTTTAGAGATCACCACAAATAATATTCAGACTGTTCTGATTTGCTGCATTAAATACCTTTTCAAACACATCTCTTTTGGTTATGAATCAAAACTTCTGTATAAATATACTGCCCTCACAGGATAGCCAGGCTTGGTTCTACCAGGTTTATCACGTGTAATCATTTCAAGGGATATGATCTACCTCACAGCGAGGAGAACACTTAATACTAAGTCATATCATAGCGCAGTGGAGTACTACCCTAAGGCAGTATTCTTCACATCTAGTTACACAGGTAGGATTAAACTTGTCTTTTGGGTTCAATTTCTATTATCTGTCTTCAGAACAACAGAAGACCTCTGTAATAAAAACAGGCCACAACGTGAATGACTTTCAGTGCAAAAAACTCCATCAACCAATCTATCAGATCATATTGTATACTATGACATACGATGGTAACTGAAAACACATCATTTCAAGAAATAAAGAAGATACACTACTATTCCTCTCCTCTCTGAAGCTTGGAAATCCAGTTTCATTACTGGGGGGAGAAGGGTGAGGAGAGGGTGCAAAAACAGCAGGAAACAGCTGAAGGAGTCCTTAGGAGGAACAATCCTTGAAACCGCTATTCTGTGATCCTGGGGCTACTGATTGGGAAAATGTAGTAACTGTAACAGGTCTTTTATCCTTAGTAAATTATTACTTTTCAGGCAACTGACAAGCATATTCGATACCTACCCATGTGCCAAGCACTAGGATTCTCAAGAAGTTTACATTTTAATGTGAGAGAAAAGAATTACCCATATGAAATGAAACACAGAGGATAAAAATATAAAAAGTATAAATACAAAGAAATAACAGGCAGTAAAGACAGGCGGATACCAGCAGCTGAGGGTTCAGCAGAGCCTTTGTGTACAAGGAGGTACTTGGCACACATTATAGAAGAAGGGAGGGCGGGATTCTTTCTGTGAGGCCAAGGGGAGGAAGCAGAACCTTTGAAGAGGGGATGGCCACCACCAAGGCCGTGCATGAGAGACAGAGAGAAGGCCTGCCTGGCTAGACTGAAAGTGTGGGAGGACAGTGATGTCTAAGGAGGCCAGAAAGATGGGTCTGGGTCAGCTTATGCAGGTTTTCAAGTAAACAAAGGAGTTCATATTTTATCCTAAAGGCAACAGGAAGATACCAGTTGGTGGAGTAGGGGACCCACACGGTCAGATCTGTGTACGAGAAAAACTGCTTGGGCAGCGGTATTTAGGATGGACTTGAGTGTTGGGAGTAGGGGCTGGAGGCAACTCTCAAATCTCTCAAAACGAATTAGGAAGCCTTTAAAATAATCTCAGTGAGGTAATGAGAGTCACATCACAAACACCTGGAAAGGCTAGCACCCCAGAGGAGACTGTGGCCAACACTAGCCAATGCTGCAGAGAGGTGGAGAAATACCAGACAGAAAAAAGACAGTCAGAACTGGCAATTTAGAGATCAGTTTTAATTGAGAGCTGAGGTTGGAAACTCCACTGCTGAGGGCTGAAGACTCAAAGGAGGGGAGCAGATGCAGCGAATGTACATGGCTTTCTGAATGAGTCTGACCCAGAGAGGGAGGAGAGATAGTGGACGACAGGCAGAGAGGCTCGTAAGGTGCAGACTTAAGGATGGAGGAGGCTTGGGCATATTTGAGGGCAGCACTAAAGGACCCAGGTGAAAAAAAGAGGCAGAAGATTTGAGAGACGAGGGGATAACTGAAGGTGTAATCTGCAGGACCAGATGGGAGCAGGGGATCGAGGGCATGTGCACAAGTGCCGGCCGGGGCAAGGAGAAGGGCCGCTCCTTTGTCAGAGAATGGGGAAAGCAAAGAGAAGAAGACATCAAGGGGGTTCTGAGTGAAGAGAAGGGGAAAAGAGAGACCCCTCAGCAAAAGAAGATGCAAGGTGGAGGAGCAGGCAGCATGGGAAGGAGTGAGAAGGGGAATCAACCAAAGAGGAATAGAAGATTACTGACTATGAGGAAGGCCCAGTGGAAGGTGCATAATGTGAAGACATCGAGTTCCTATGGCACAGAAGGTTATACAATGATGAAAAATGTGAAATTACCAAACGGCTCATGATTAAATTCTGATTTCTCAGAGACATAAAAAAATATAGCAACTGACATGAATTTTTGAGGAGTGAAACAAACTTCTCATACTTACTACTCTGAGTCTGCTGTGTATTGAATGTCCCAAATCCTAGCCCGGCTCCCAGACCAGCACCGGTTCCTGTCGCTGTACCAAAACCACTAGTACCAAATCCAAAACCTTTGTTCTGAGTAGCACCAAAGAGACCTTTGAAGAAAAACTGGGTTTACAAAAGCATCAAATGCAATCACCCAACTAGCCCCTATCAATGCTGTTTAGTTCTATGATTCATTCTGTCCCGTCAGGGCTCTTACCAGTTGTGCCAGTGTTAGTGGGAGCAGAAAAGCTGAATGCAGAACTCGCTGTTGTGGTGGTCGTCCCAAACCCTCCAAAGGTACCTAGCAAATCACAAGAAAGGACATGGAAACATCAGGGTTAGCGTACTCCCTCTGCCAAATAGTGGCTCTATTCTTAGCCTCATGTCTGGAAACTTATTTTATAAAAGTGTCCTGACAGTTATATTTCAGTATAATGTTTTTTAAAAGAATCTCCTGTATGTTACATATTCACACCTACACAGTCGTGCACGAGAGCACGCGCGCACACACACACATTCTGAGAAGAGGTCCATAGGCTCCACTAATTACCCAAGGTAGGCTCCAAGACATCAAAAAGGTTTAAAAAATCCTGCCAGTATTTTAGACGTTTACAATCTCATAAAATACTAATATATGTAGCCTAATCCTTACTTGCTTTGGTTCCACGCTTAAAAAACAATTCAGTGAGACACACTTGGCCGGAGACCTTCATCTCAGTAGACATAACATCCTGTCCTGCAAAGCTCCACGACATACTCTGAAGTTCAGAGTGTGTATTATTTCCAAAGGTACCAAATAAAGTGATCAATTGGGCACAATTTATCATGAATTTGTACTTACCAGAGTATAAAAGAAGCTGAATAGTTAATTTACAGTTTGTAAAATCACAAGTAAAAACTTATCAATGGTTGAAAAAAAAAGTGAAGTATTCTACAAATATGATATTGATGTAAGTGATTTAATACATGAACTGCAATCAATAAAATGGAAATGCCAGTGTTTTTTTAATAAACATTGAATTATTTTAAAAAATAATCCAAAATAAACACTGTCATTTATTTTTGCTGAGTTGTAGCTCTATTCAGAAGCACAAATCAAACACAAAACTCCATTTTCCCCTACTGTTAATTTTATGCAGTAACGACACACAAAAGAGTGTTCAAGTAGTATCAGATGTATGCCCCTTGAGAGCAGACTGTTTTCTTCATCTTTGAATCCCCAGCACCCAGCACAGCGCCTGGTACATAGCAGATGCGTAATAAATATTTGTTAAATGGAATTCAAAAGAATGTAAGTACTTTGTAGTTTAATAAAATAATACAGGAAGAATACAATGCACGATTATTGTATCCTAGGAAATTTCACATAAATTTTCAATATTAAACTTTTTAAAAAGCTCAAAGTTAAGCATATGAAGGCTTGGACATGTGGCGCCTATACAACACTGTATTCACAAAAGAATTTAAAGAACTGTCCAAAAATAAATTGCAAGCAGCAAAAATATTTCTGAAAGTAAATCCTCAGTAGGAAAAAAAGAGGCAATGGGCATTAAGTGGCCAATTAAGTCACGTAAAAGCACGCAATAATTAATTCATACAAGCAGCTGAGCTAAAAAAGATTTTTTGAAGAAAAAATCCATAGAAGTAGGTATACAAAGTACAAATACTTGTGCATATCCTTTTGCCAATTAAAAAAATCTTAAAATCACAATTTCACATTACAATCGGCAGCAGCACCTGTCAGGACACCAAGAGAACGCTAACCCAACTCACCAGCTTTTACAAGAACTTGGTGTCTTTCGGTGACTAAACCAAATTCCTGCCTAAGGAACTCAAACAATGAGTGAAAGGGGCAGGAAAACCTTTAAACTCTAGAGAGCAGTACGCTTGCTCGCTGAGGAAGGGAAACGATGACTTCACAGGCAGAAAAAGCCCAACTACTGATTGAAAGCGGTTTGTATGAGATTTGTTCCTTCTGAGAAAACAGCTAGAACTGCCGTAACAGGATGACAACGAGCTGATGGACAGATGGAGGCATGACGACGGATGGCTGCAGGACTCCAAGAATCCGGGGGAAACAGGGGGTCCGTTTCGGAGGGTGACGTCACCAGGGCCATAATCGGGGTCCTCGCCCCTTTCCCAGCAGCGGGGCACACCCGCGATCTGGACGCGGAATCTGGGACCGATCCCCCCCCCCTCCCCACGGCCAAGCCCGGGGCCATCTCTGGAGTCCTGCTTGACCATCCACGAGGTGACCGGGGGGGGGGGGGCTCTCTACCTGCGCTGGCCAGAGGGTTACCAAAACTGAAGGGGGCCGCGGCGCTGGTGGAAACACCGAAGCTCCCAATATTAAAGTTCACCGCAGGGTTGGCGGCTAAGCCGAAACCCCCAAAATTAAACCCACTGCTGGTGGAGCTGGCAGCGTCCAGCCCCCCAAATCCTGACGGGCGGGGGGAGGGAGAGAGAGAGAGAGAGGAAAGAAAAGAAAGCACAGTGAGAATTACGAGAGCAGAATCATCGGGGCTAGGTCAGACTGGGGGCTCCCCGGGGGCCGCCCGCGGCATCCAGCAGGCGCTTCCTAAGTGCTCCGTCCCGTGCCCCGCACACAGCAGGCGCTACGTAAGTGCTCGCACGCCAGCCCCGGGCGGAAGGCAACGCGGGAGGCACGGCTGGGGAAAAGGCGGGGGTCCCCCCTCCCCTTCCCCCCCGGGACGTCGGGGTCGGAGCTGGGGGGCCGTGAATCCCTTCGCTGAAGACCTCGCCGGGACCCGGCCCGTCCCCGCCCCGCCGGCCCTCGGGGGTCCCCTCCCCGTCCCCGGCTGGGGGCGCGCCCACGCGGGGCCCGGCGGCCGGAGGGAGGGGTCCCCGGAGGATCTCCCCAGCCCTCCACACTCACCCGCGGGGGCGGCGGGGGTGGCGGCCGTGGCCGTGCCGCCCGCGGGAGCCCCGAAGTTGAAGGCCATGACGCCCCCCGAGCCGCGGCAACTCTCACGGGGCGCTCGGTGCAGCCGGCGGAAGGGTCCGGCCGGTCAGCGGGAACCGAGGCGGGCGGGTTCCCGGGAACGGCAGGTGACGGCGGGGGAGGGGCGGGGTCTCGGAGAAAGCCCGCGTCGCGCCTCTGTGACGTCACCTGGAAGTGTACGCGAGGCGCAGCGGGGGTGGAGGAAGTGCGCCTGCGCAGACTCTCCGCTGCAGGGCTCGGCGGCGGCGCGTGGGGTGAATTCATCGGTCTGCCCTCGGCGTCCTCGAGGTGCGGCGGCGTCTGGGAGCCCGGCATCCCCTGACCCCTGACCCCTGACCCGCCGGGACGTTTGGGGTTTTATTGGGATCGTTTGTTCGTTTCCTCCCCTCCCCCTGTGAGAACAAAGAATGCGAAAGAGAGAAAGAGGAAAGGGAGGAAAAGACGCCGGAGAGCCTGAGCCTCCCCCTCCCCTCCCCCACTCTCTGCCCTCCCCTTCCCCCTGCCCCTCCCTGCGGGTTGTGGAAAAGTTGAGGTGTTTTGCCTTAGAGACCTGTATAAAGCGTCTCCCCAGCCTTACGTAATGGTGGGATTAGCAGGTAATCAATCACCCAGCCCCTGCCTCTGAGGCCCGTGCTGAGACGCCCGATCTGGGTTGTTAGGGTGGGGCTGAACCCCCCCAAGGTGGGGTCAAGGGACCCAGCCTGAGTCAGGGTACTCTGATTGGATCTCACACGATCAGAACTGAGGACCTGCACGCCTTCCATGGATCAATCAGTCATTCAGTGAACATTAAGCACCTACCGTGTGCCAGGCATCCTGCTAAGCACGCTAGGGATACAAAAAGAGGCAGAAGGCAGTCCCTGCCCTCAAGGAGCTTACAATCTACGGGAGGAGACAACATGCAAACAGATGTATACCAAGCAAGCTAGATACAGGATAGATAGGAAATGATTATGAGGGGGAAAACTTCCTCTAGGAGAGAGGATTTTAGTTGGGTTTTGTAGGAAGGGGAGTAGAGGAGGGAGATCATTCCAGGTAAGGGGGACAGCCAGAGAAAATGCCCAGAGGGAGAGGGGATAGTGTCAGGTTCCTAGGACAGCCAGGAGGCCAGTGTCCCGGGGTAGTGGGAGTGGGCTAAGTTCTGAATGGCTTGGAATGCCAAACAGAGCATTTTGTATCGGCCCCTGGAGGCGATAGGGAGCCACTGGAGGGTTATTGAGTAGGGGAGTGACATGATCAGAACTGAATTTTAGAGAAATCACCTAAGTGGCTGGAGGGGGGACTAAAGGCAGGAACGACCACCAGCACCTATCGCAATTATCCAATTCCCCTTTGGTGTTTTGCTGCGAAGAATTAATTTAGTTGAGATTCTGATAGGTGTGATGGTTTTTGGGTAACCAGCATTTGGTAGCAAGGAGCCAGGTTGATGAGTGGAAGCTAAGGGCTATCTTTCCCCATAAGAAGTGTCAGGGAAGCAACTTTTGTTCTGAAACTGTCATGCCGCTAGACCAGAAATATTTGAGGGGTAGCAGATGAATATCTAATACTCAAATTATTCAAAATGAATATTTTTGAAATATTTTTTGAAAATTATTCAAAAATTCTAAGGAATACCTAATGCTCAAAGACTTTTTTTCCTCTGAAATAGCACTCAACCTTGGCTTCACTCAGGAGGACTGCTTGCCTCCTCCATATTTCCCAGTTCCTTGTCTTCCAGCTAGAGTGCTGGTCCTATAGATACAGCCCTTAGCTCTCTTCTCCAGAGGCAGGCTAGACTCAGATCATATCCAGGCAGGCCACCTATGAGCTTTATCTATAGATTGAGACAATCCCATATGCTCTCTATCTCATATATGGACACATATCACATAAATATACACTTTAGAAAACCCTCCACACTAGGTGCCTCCACTTTTTCTCCCTTCACTCACTTCTAAATGCATTGCAATATCACTTCCATTCTTATCATGCGACTGAAACGGCTCCTTCCGAAGTTAACAAAGACCGTCTGCCTGCCATAGGTAATGGCCTTTTCAAAAATTTCAACTTTATGGACCCTGCTACATACAGCATTTGACAGTGTCGATCATATTCTCCTTGGCACACTTTCCTTTCTTGGGTTTCCTGACCCTATTCTCTCCTGGTTCCCTTCCTCCCTTTCTGACCACTCCTCAGTTTTCTTTATTGGTTTTTCATCTGTATCATTCTCTGATTATAGGAAGCAGCTAGAGAGCACAGCAGATAGAACACTGGGCCTGGAGTCAGGAAGAGCAGAGATCAAATCTAGCCTCTGACACTTACTAGCTGTGTGACACTGCATGAGTCATTTTGTCTCTGTTTGCCTCATTTTCTCAGCTGTAAAATGAGGATAACATTAATAACTGTACCTCACAAGGTGATTATGAGGATCAAATGAGATAATATTTGTAAAGTACTTAGTACATTACCTGGCACATAGCAGGTGCAGTGAATGCTTATTACCTTCCCCTTCTCTATACTATCTAGATCAGGGGTGGGAACCTTCGGCCTTGAGGCCACATGTGGCCCTCTAGGTCCTCAGTGCACCTCTTTGACTGAATCACAGACCAAATCCTTTTATTAAAGGGATTCTGGACCATACACTTGAGTGCCTACCATAGTTCTCCAAACACAGGAGATAATTAAAAATTGTTGAGTGAATGAATGTGTAGTGATGCTATATTATGAGGTTGGGATGATTTAAAAAACAATCTGTGATTACATTTTTCAGATCTAATGAGTAGGCCACAGATTTTTCCCAAATGTTTTCAGACTGAAAAAACCCTACAAACTTTTGGGTAGGAAGAAGTCTAAGAAAGAACAAATATGTTCCCCACCCTTTCTTTCCAACTTTTCTCTGATTCCTTTGGGCTTTCTGGGATTGACACCAGACTGCCATTTTGACAAATAGTTAAAACCCACTCATATGGGTGCCATTAAAAACTTCGAGATTCAGTTTTGTAGAAATGATAACTTTATTAGTGAAACATTTTATTTTTTTTAACAGTAGAAACAAGTATTCTTAGAATCACATTAAATGAGTCAATTGTAAAAACTAAATGTGTACTATTCTGAATATCTTCTTTAATGGCCACAAGAAAGAGTAGTTAAAAAAGGGGGCAAGGGCAAGGAGATATGACAGACCAAAGCTGAAGATTACCTTTTATAAACATCAAATCTCAATAATCAGTTTAATTTTCAAAATCAACCATATTTTCAAAGAAAAGCCCAAGCAGTGGCTAATTGTTTTGTTCAGCTCTTCTAATAGTTTTTCCTTTCAAGGACAAGAAGAAAAGTCATGTGGTAGCAACTGACCACAGCAGTCAGTCTCTAAGCATTTATCAAGTACTGTTATGTGTCAGGCACTGTGCTGAGCACTGAGGCTGCAATGCCAAGAGATGTAGGTTCTAATAACTAGTCTTCCAGCTACAAAATGAGTTAAATAACACTGGCTACTTAGTTCCATGATGTTGACAAGACTTAGATTTGGAAAGACCTGGACCTATGACTTGTTTCATCCCTGTAGGTAACCCCCTCTACCAGTCCAAGCCATTCTGCAGTTTAGAGCCTTAGAGACTTGCTTGGGACTCTAAGTGGTTGAGGACCTTCCCGGGGTGACATAGTCATCATGTTAAAGATAGGAGGGAAACCTGGTTTTTGCTAACTCCAAGACAGGTTCTCTAGGCTTTAGGCCACTCTATCTCTCAAATGAGTCACACCAATTAGTAGCATGTATTCTTAATTGGCTCCAATTCTTTATGGGGTCCACCACAGATTGTTCTGGAAAGGAAGTAGCTCTCAATGTATTTAATTTGATTTCAGATCTTGTTTAAAAAAATGGAACTATGAGATGTCTCATAAAAGAGCAAAGAAACTGAAGATGGCTTCTCTTCCACCCCCAAAATAACAGGGGCACATCACAAAAGGGGACCTCATTACATTTGTAAATGCAAAATCTTGGCTGTAAAATCTTAAAGTGGGAAATGATGAGTAATAGAGACAGCCTAATGAGAAACCCACCTAAGTGAAGTCATCCAGAAGGCATTTGAGGATCAAACTACTTGGGCTTAGCTAGCTCTTGCAGGTTTTCTGTAAGCATATTTTCTCCTCTACTGATTCTCACTGTTTTAAGAGGTGATACTGCTCACCACCTTCCACAGTGGTCTGTGGCTAGTGCCCTGGGAGGCCACATTGGACAGAACAAAATGGCACTTTTCAAAGACTCTCCTTCAATAAGCCATCTCTCATGCTCAGGCCAAAAGTTCTTGAAAGCTGTAACAGAGATGATCTTGTTTGATAGCTTTCTGAATATTAATATCAAGAGAAGAACAAAAGAGGGAGCTATACTCTCGTCTAATGTGTCTACTCTGAACCTGGGCAGAGTCTAAAGGAAGACATTCCCTGTAGAGGTAGAGATTCTCTAAATACCCTTGACATGGTGTTGATTGGAAACCTCCAATGCAGTTACCAAATTACTTTAAGATGGTCCAATTTTACTATGCACAGAATTAGAAATAAATGGTTGAATAACATCTATTGTCAGAACAATGGCATACGGTCAGAGGGTCAGCTCATAAAGTAGCGATCATCAGTATATATTTCTCAGACAGAAACTGGAGATGGATCTAGCATTGAATAAAAAGGCTGAAATATTTGGGAAACTAAGTAGTGGTTTGAATGACTCCAAGCTTTTCTCTGAAAGACAGGCCTGTCTTTTTTAGCATCAGCATTTTTATGGGAATGCTCCATGACTGCAAGTCAAGGAATGTCTGAAGAATTAAGGGTCTGGATCACCCTCAGGGCTCCTGGTGAGCAAAGATTGGCAGCCATACATTACCAGTGAAGAATGGTGCAAAGTAAATGATGTTATCAAAAAGATGTATGCCTAGTAAAGAAGGGGGAACAGTTATGTAACAAGATTGGAGGATAAATGACTGGAAGATCCCTGAGGGCTCAGCTCCTCTCAGAACTTGCACTTTAATGATATGCCCAGGTCAGCCATGTTCACACCTTCCGCATTCCACTCTTGGATCTGCTGACTTCCTTGTACAGGTATCTTGCTTCCCCATCCACCCTTTCAAAGACCCCACTCCTCCCTACTCAGTCTCTCCCATGTTCTTTG